AAACCAACAGTGGAGAGGCCATATCATACTGTCTACCCTCGAACCGAGTGAGGGAGAAAGCATACTACGAAATGGAGCCTTGTGATAAGGCAAGAAATTCTAAGACTGAGCTGGTACTGTCCTGCGGTCCAATTTACATTCTTCAGCATGTCCAATGTTGTACACTACCAGAGCATTGACTGTTAGCGACGTCTCCGCCCGTAACATTCCAATCTTGCGCGAGAAGGGTATGATATCACGAGGTTCAACAGTAACATGGTAGGAATGAGGCATGGCTAGTACTTAACGCTTGGGTAGAGAGATCAAGTATCGACCTTCACAAGTAACGACGAAGACGTATACTACAACTGCTAAGTCATACCTACAAGGCTGAACAACATTGTGAACAGCTATGAAGGCGCAATTCTTCCCTATGATACAGAGTATCTGTTTTGACATTCTGTCTTTTTGTACGCGGGACCGTTAGTGGAAATCTTCGTAAAGTTACAATCCACGACACGGAGAATTGCCCAGGTGGTGGTTCCCACCCCACGTTGCACAATGACGCAGACTTTGATCGTCGCGGTACAAGGGTTATGAACTCAGCCCCGCGGGGTAATCTCTTTCGAGATTCAATAGGTATATGCTGGCAGAGTGCCTAGGCGACGCTTTCAATTGACGGAACATCTGGTCATGCTTCGATAAGGACGTAAACATGCTCGAAGATCTTTTCCTTAGCAGTCGCGGAGTTGACGGAACTGTAGCTATCCCTAAATACATAACTTGGTGGCATGATAAAGATTCTGATAACTGCGTAGCCGCGCTGAACGGTCGAGTGTGAACCTTGTACGTGCAGTGCTAGTACGGGAAGGGACTCAAGCAGCGAGAGATGCCTGTCGTGCGATAATGCACGACAAAACATGCTTACGCCCAGCAATGCAATGGGCAAGACATATATGATGCGTCGCGAGACGAGATCCGCATCGCACAGTATTCCCCCTCCTTCAGTGTATTCCGTCGTAGAATGGCGGGCAGCGTTGACGATGGCGGGGCCAGCCCCACGCTGAGCAATTACAACAGCCTCGTCGTGATTGGCGTACCAACCGCACTACTGCTAACACACCTCATCCGTGTCGCACTGCAATGGTACCGGCTATCGCACATTCCCGGTCCCTTCTGGGCATCAATCTCCAGCTTTTGGATCATATCGCGATCCCTCCAAGGACGACTTCCACGCGCGACGAAAGAACTGACGGACAGATATGGCCCGCTGGTACGCGTCAGCCCAACCGACCTGGTCACCAGTGATCCAGACATTGTGCGCAGAACAACGGCAGTACGGTCTGAATACACACGAGGGCCATGGTACGATGCGATGAAGCTGGAACCTGGACGCGACAATCTCTTTTCGATGCGCGACGAGACGGCGCATTTGAAGTTGAGGAATAAGATGGCTCCTGGCTATTCCGGGAAGGAGAATGAATCTATGGAAGGCACCGTCGATGAACAGGTTGCTGCTTTCATCGATTTGATCGAGAAGAAGTATATCTCGACCGCGACCGAATACCGACCCATGGATTTAGCGCTCAAAACGCAGTACTTCACACTGGACGTCATCAGCGCTTTGGCATTCGGGAAACCGATGGGTTATCTAAAGCAAGACGTCGATCTCCACGATTACATCAAGATCACCACGACATACGTTCCCGTTATGATGGCGCTTTCGTACGTACCTTGGCTGGCGAATCTGCTGCATTCGCGCCTGTTGAGAGGCGTGCTTCCCAAAGAGAGCGACAAGCTCGGTTTCGGGGCCTTCATCAACGTGGCAAGGAAGGCGGTCGCGGAGCGGTTTGCATCCGAAGATTCCAAGCCAAAGTCCGACATGCTCGGATCTTTTATTCGCCATGGTCTCACACCAGAAGAAGCATCGAGCGAGGCGCTCTTGCAGATTATCGCTGGTAGCGATACTTCGGCGTCTACGATTCGCGCTGTGATGCTGCATACGCTGGCCAATGCGTCTTCTTATAGAAGACTACAAGCTGAGATCGATAACGGCATTGCTGCTGGGACGATTTCCTCGCCCATTACGGATACTGAGGCGCGACAACTACCGTACCTTCAGGCTACTATCAAAGAGGGCTTGCGCATTCTGCCTCCGGCGAGTGGGTCGAACTTCAAAAGCGTTCCTGCAGGCGGTGATATCCTTGCCGGCAAATTCATTCCTGCAGGCACGCAGATTGGGTCTTCCTATCTCAGCATCCAGCACTCTACAGATATCTTCGGTCCAGATGCTGAGCTCTTCAGGCCAGAACGTTGGCTGGATGCTTCGGAAGATCTCGCACGTCTTGCGCACATGGCCAATACCGTGGAGCTAGTCTTCCACTATGGAAAATACAAGTGCTTGGGCCAGAACGTTGCGTTGATGGAGTTCAACAAGGTTTTTGTCGAGCTACTGCGGCGGTTCGATTTCTCCATCGTACATCCGCACGAAGCGGCGAAGATATACAATGCCGGGATGTGGATTATGGAGGACTTTTCGGTCAGAGTCACACGACGTGCAGTCTAATTAAGACATGACCAGGGCTGAGTGAGATGCGCTTCCCATTGCCGTAGTGCTGATGCACTTGTTAGGTCTTACGGCGGGTTGCGGCAGATGTCGACATAGCGGAAGGGAGGGAACCGACATGTCACCGAAAGTATCGGAAGCAAGGTTCATGTCATCAATCTCGGCCTCCGGGTAAACCATGTCCTGTATAGACGCACTCAAAACCAACGTCCGAACAAATTGAACAATGTATAGGCTGTCGTGTAACTTGACATTTTAGGTGAATGCGATGAGTCTTACGACTGTAAGACGTAATGAAATCGACCACTATAGGCTCAATGCGCACCTCATAGATGATGACGACTCCATATCGAGACAATGTACCGCATACCGAAACTACGGAGTTCAGCGTGGCAGGAACAGGTCCATGTTGAAGTATATCGAGAAGCATGCGCCGCAGTATATACTCGGCTTCCCAAACCCAGCATCACTGCGCCAACCAAAACTGCTGATCGAAGCGTGGCAACGGAAAAAAGAAGGCCTGCACGAAGAAGCATTTGCAGTTCTCGGCTTCTCAGACCTAGATCGCGGAAACCGCTGATCACCGCGCAGCGACAGAATTCTTCTCCCACAGGTGTCAGAGAGTACTCGGTTTCCAAAACACCATCTGGGTCGACTACGAATGCCTGCGAGGCGTAGCGCGGGTTACATTGCTGATGAGAGCACAAAAGCATCATATGCTCGATTTGCCACGTGCACGCATCGCGAGCGGTACCAGTACCGGTGTTTTCCAATCCAGCCGTGTGACTTTCCTCGTTGGGGACGCTGGCGCTGGTAGGCTCTAGTGGGTTATGTGTAACCGAACAACAGTCCCATGAGGCTGAGACACGCCCTATAGTAGCGCGAACATGCGTTCTACACATAGATTGAACGTTTTTCTTCTTTGCTCATGTGGCACATGCCCGTTGCGGCATTGCTTGGGTTTGCACTGGTGAGTTGTATGGCGGTGAAGAAGCATCGCGGCACGCCGGGCTCGCCGTTTCGATTGCTAAAAAGAATCTTACACGGGATGGTTTTTTTTCGCACGCCTCGCAGGTACTAAGCTCAGCCTTCTTCAGCCCTCGAGCAGTAGTGTTATTGTTTTTCTCGTGTCGGCGCTGGCTAGCGCTGAGTAGCTGGCGGGGTAGACCGTATTCCTCCTTCGCCCTCACGCACTTCCCAACATCATCACCATGCTGCCTTCGTACTGTGGAATTGGACCTCGTACGACGAGGCATGGAGGCGTGCGCGATGCGAAGTGGAGCTCGCCACTCAAAATAGACGGCCGATAAGCCTGTGCGCGAGGAGATTGCGATGGGGAGTTTGCGTGATAAGACGATAGTGGATTGTTCGGGATACTTTGTGCGAGGTTATTCCCGCTTGTGTGTGGAGCGCCTTTATGTGAGGCGCTGGGGGTTGGGTGTTTAGCGACAGGAAGTGCATGCTGGCCGCAGATCCCCCTTTCAAATCACAGCCACTTTGTTTGCAACGGCAACGGCTGCTATCTTGCCGTCACACAATGGATTGTGGCATTCTAATCTCAGCTGAACGGGCGAAGGTCGATGCTAGCAAATCCTTCTGGCAAGATGACGCTGCCGTATTCAATTGACAACTCACCCGCGCGCGATGTGACAGTCTGCATGACAGTAGCTATGGCACGCTGGCGGACGCCATATTGACCGGAGCATTACTAGACATTGCTAGATACCGAGGGCGTTCCTGAGAGCTATATTTGGCTGCACGGCATCTGGAAGCGAAGAGAAAAACACGATGCGCCATCCAATCATGGCGGCCCTGCATTCCGGCAGCCGGCAGGTCCGCCTCGTGAACGCAGCGTGGGCAGCCCAGGAAAAGCGACAAGCTCCACAGTAGTTCGTTCACGTCAGCGCGCTGACAATTTCCGCGCAACTCGGGGTCGGCTCAGGCCCAGGAGCCACGGCCAGCAGCATTATCCTCGTGTGTAGACTGTCAAGCCCGAGGTTGGCCTGACCTGGGCGCCCGGCCATCGTTTGATGAGCCACGGCCCAAAAGCAGTATAGCCTCCCACTTATCATTTGTTCCCTCTGCTGTAGCTCGCGCACGCTTACTTACTTTCCAATACTACGTTGCAGGCCTAGGCCGAATTCACGCCCACGGTACATGCGTGCTTCGTATTTCCATGACCGATCATCAGGTGTCGCTGGTGAGACGGCTCGTCAAGCGCACTGCGAATGATCTGCAGTACGAGGCGCGCGCGCTGTGGATAGTCGGGCGGTAAGGCGGAAGATGCAGGTCCCAGGTATAAGGATGACTGGCCGTCCTGCATGTCGGGATCTTTTTGTACAGCTCGCTCAACAATCACACCAAGCAACCGCATTCGCTTTTAGGTTGTTGTCCTTCGCTTTCCTGCTACTGTCAATCGGGATCTTAGTACCTTTTTAATACTTATACCTTAATCATGCGTACCTCAATCTTGTCCGCCACCTTGGCTGTTGTAGCCAGCGTTTCTGCGCTTCCATCTCCTCAGGAACTTCCCCTGACCAAGCTCATCAAGGCCCTACCCCTCAACATCTTCGCCGAGACACCAAAGTTCGTTCAGCCCGTTCCTCTCGCGGATGCCAAGCGGATATTCGAGGAGCACAATGCCACACAGCCAGAGGAGCCTGCTGCGCAAAACCAAAACTTCCGCGTCTCTACTCTCGCTGCCGCTGCAACATGCGCCAACCCCCGCGTCCGCGTTGAGTGGGACTCCTACCCTGACAGCAGCAAGCAACAATTCGTGGATGCCATCAAGTGCTTGATGGGCCGCGCTCCCTCAGGCCAGTTCCCCGCGGCCAAGAGCCGGTATGAGGATCTCGTCGCCCTCCACCAGACCCTGACACCCAACGTGCACGGAAACTCCAAATTCTTGCTCTGGCACCGATACTACACCTGGGTCTTCGAGGACATTCTACGCTCAGAATGTGGCTTCAGCCAAACCATGCCCTGGTTCGACGAGACCAAGTACGCCGGTCGCTTTTCGGCATCATCCATCTTCTCAGCCAAGTGGTTCGGAGGCATTGCCCTCGGCGGAAACTGTGTAACCAATGGCGTAAGTACAACCCCATTGTCCGACACGCCTCCTATAACCAAGCAACTAACACTCTGCAGGCATTCGCCAACCTTGCCATTAACATTGGCCCCGGTTCAGGCAACACGCCCCATTGCCTTGCCCGCAACGGCGATGCCGCCAAGACCCAATACTGCAACTCCGACTACGTGAACCAATGCAACGCCTACGGCGACTTCGCCGGCATGGCTCAATGCGCAGAGGGAGGCCCCCACGCCTGGGGCCACAACGGTATCGGCGCTGTCATGCAAGACACGTACGGTTCGCCCGCCGACCCCATCTTCTGGCTCCACCACGCTTTCGTCGACCGCAACTTCCGCATCTGGCAGAACGCCAACGGTGCTCGTGTCAACACCATCAACGGCAACGACGCATCTGGCCGGGCCCTTACCCTCGACACCAACATCAACGTCTACGGTATCCGTCCTGATGTCAAGGTCAGGGATGTCCTCGACACCACTGGAACCACGCTGTGCTACAAGTACAACTACTAGAACTTGTTTGGCTTTTGTGCTTAGCGTTGCTTGGGTGGCAGTGCCCGTTTACGCCTTTTCGTGTTCTTAGCGCTTCTGTAAATATTTTATTAGAATGACATGTGTATCCATGAGAATGTCCTGTCTATTGTGAGACTATGTGCGACGAGTACGATTGGGTCGCATGGCCCCTTCATGTAATGAAAGTGGCTGAAACAGGCGACATTGTAACAGTACTGACGGCATGTAAGACATCGACCCCATATCCTCATCTTTGCAGGTTCTGACTGTATCTCACATGAAGATTATTGCCAAAAGCTAGTTCTCTTGTAGTGCTTCTTACTGTAAAGCACCCTAAGAATATACGCGATGTTCCATGCGCGACCCTGACGAACAGTGGCGTAAAGGTAGATCTCCAGGGCGAGCCTTTTAGAAAAGCTCATCAGAATGGGCTTTTCCGTACTTGATGTATCGTTACTATGATGTGACTGAGATTGGGGGGAGTTCGCAATTGTCGATCGCAAAGTGAGCGTTGTGAGCCGTCAGCGGGCACTGCCCTCCACTGACGAGATAATTCTCAACATCAGCGGCGAGCTCGTCGTCCTTCTTGTCCAGTCGCCATCCAAGCACATCCCCGTTTTCACCAAGCGTTCCCGACACAGTCGCACGTTTCAGCGACAAGCACTCCGCTATCTCTTTCAATACACCCGGCCATGCACAATGCTGAATAGACCTCAATGGTACCTTGGGCTTTTCTTCTGATGCGTCGTTTGGGCCTGCCGTCCAGGAAATGTCGCGTAGCCTGAGATCCTTCAACGTGGAGCTGTGTCTGCTCAGAAGTGACACCAATGTGTCCGGCGTAGCAGAAAAACCAGACAACGATAATTTCTGTAATTTAGGCCATGCAGTTTCAGCAGCGAAAACGTGGCGGATGCTTGCAAGTGGTGCAGTAGTGTCCACTGACCCGTTCTCCAGGCCGACTTTGAGACTTTCGAGCTCTGGTAGACACGCAATGAACATCTCCAGGTTTTCCATTAGTAGTTCCAACGTCCATTTAGTACTTTGGAAGCGCCAGTCACCGGAGAATCCAAATATCGTGATGTCCAGACTTGTTAAGCAATGTAGTTCACCCGGCTCCCATGAGGTGAAAGCCTGAGGTTGTACTCTGTCTAACTTGAGTTTTCTCAGCGAGGTTTTGCAATATTGCTGTATAGTCCGGAAAGCCTCCACCCCTGGTAGAGCATAGAAAGCGTTGATACCTTCTCCTCTACGCAACACGGGAGGTACGGGCAAAGCGCGGGGTAGCGTATGTGCCACTTTTCTCACACCTCGGTGGGCCTGCGAAAGCTGACCGTTGACCATGTGTATCGAACGCAAGTTTTGAAAGTTTCCAAGCGCCTCGAACTGGCTCATCGTTTGTCTTGCGATTCTCTCGTCCTTTACTTTGTCACCATACGCCTCCCACTCTCGTCGGTCCTCCGCAAGCTGAGCATATAACGGCTTATCTAGCTCTTGTGAGTCGCTGCGGCGATGTCGGGGCATGAAAAGACCTGCTGTGAAGTTCCAGTACCACTTCCATTCGTGCATGCCCTCGAGGCGGTAAATATGCCATAAATTGTCGTCCCAGAAGATGGTCTTGACACATCTTCGAAGTCGATCATTTGCACTGAGCTTCTGCAAGCGATCAATGCTCGCAGTACTGTAGTGGAAGATAATCGTGTTGAAGAGTTCTTCGGTGCCTGTCACGCACAACTGTTTGCTTGCGAGCCGATAGTGTGGTAAATCGTCACGGTGGACGTATGTTGCGATAAGCCGATGTATCTCTGCGGGAAGGTGCGGCACTTCGGCTGTCATATTGAATATCTGCGGCAGAAACCGGGCAGTGATGTTGGGGTGCGCGCTTCAGGCTGGGTGTTACCGTTGTGCGTGGAGTGGAAAAGATCATTTGGGTGTCGCAAGGCAGACGCGGCATGATGGAATGCTGGGCAATCACGCTAACCACCAAAGCACGTGCCCTGACCAGGACGCGTTCCTTCCCGACATCGATATGCTATCTGGGCAGTCTAGGAACAGATAAGATTGAGGATAACGACGGGATACAATTTTCCATAGAATCACAAAAGATGCCGGGCACCGGATTGATCTACAAGAGAGCGCAAATCCTGTCTTTGTCCACCGCCAACCGAGCTAACCCATTTGGGCAAGGAGAGAGCCCCTTGCTTTCTCTTCCCAACCACCGCCCTTTCGCGCACTCAGCCACCACAACACGCCACGCTGTCGTCAATCACTCACACAATCCATCCTTGCACCAATCTTGGCATCGATGCGAAAATTTGTAGCCATCTTCGGTACAATAAAACGCCGAGTTCCAAGCTCCTGGCCCAGCGTCGCAGAGGTCAGTTGGGAACGGCTGGCGCATGCATCCGTGGCAGCTCAGAGCGTCATGGGCGTATTCCCCTTGGCAGTAAGTATGAAGGAGCGTCTGGTAGTCTTGGCCTGTAGCAGATCAGCCTTGCGATTCTCTAAGAGTATTGAGGAACAAAGAGGAAGTTGCAAAGGGGTGGATTGGGCGAGGTATCTCGAGAGATGACGCACCTTTTCCCCAAACGACTTCGTCGAAGCAATATGTGCGACCGGGTTCGCCATCGCATTCAACCTGGCCTTGAGCGGGAATAGGACCGGTAAGAGCACCTTGTCTCTTACTCAGTCCTTGTGGAGGGGCCGCTGCTGTAAAGACGGCGAGAGAGACGATTGCCAGAAGAAGATTCATGGTGGCGGATTGTATATCGATCAAGGGGTGAAAACGGTGTATATCAACGAAGAGAGGCTGATAGATGTTGCGACGCAGAATTTAGATGACATGTCACTGGCATAAGTAGGATGCCACTGGGCGTGACGTGGTCACGATAGATGGGCGCCAAAGGCAACAAGGCGATCCGTTAACTATCACAGTATCTCATGTCCGCATGCTCTAACTCGAAACCGGAAATTGTAGCACGAAGACGTCGACTGAGATCAACTTTGTCACACCTAGACTCGATGACAAGCACGTGCGTAACGCTACGCGCACAGTTGCTATAGCATCATCAGGAAGTCATATCCGTATGATGCCTAGCCGGAGAACCTCGAGTCACAACATCAATCTCCAAAGACGCCGTCTAAAAGACAGAGTAGGGTGATTGTGCCCAGCGAACAATGCTCAAGAGTGTTGCATCCATGGCGAAGCCTAATAGGCAGAACAAGGCAAGAAAGAGCGATACTAAGCTAGAGCACATACACAGTCACATTCCAGCAGGAGATGTCGGGATTCTTCACCCGATCAAGTTCGCAAGGGCCTGAACTGAAAACGCATCATAATTTACACCAACGCCTATTACCCAAACACCATAACGCGATCTACATCACACCCTCAAAATCTTCCAAGCTCGGCTTGCTCTCCTCGACAAGTGCATCCCCACCATCGAAGATCTTCTCTCCCGCCTTACCCTTCATCAAGCAATCTAATGCCTCGCCAACCTCCTTCAACACCCCCCTCGCAACGTCCTTCCACTCCTCAAAAGTCACAATCTCAATACCCAACTTTTTTCCTCCATCCTTGACAAAGGCCTGGCACTTCCACTCCCTCAACGGCTCACCATGCGGATACAGCGTTTCGAACTTCGCCTCAACGCCATTGCCGAACGGCAGTTCTTCGACCCAAGCAGGTGCTTGGTGGACAACTGTATCGAACCAGTTGACCTTCTTGGCGTCCCAATCCGTGCAGTTCTCCACGATCTCCATGAAGCCCATAGACTCGTAGGCTGCGGAGGTAATGTGCTGGTGTTGCACAAAGTTCAACAGTTCAAGGTACGTCCAGCTAGACTTGAACGGTACGCGGAAGGGAATGTACTGCCATGTCGGTCCAAAGATGCGATCAGCGTTCGCAGCGCCGATGTTTCTTCCCGAGACGACCTCACCAAAGACTACGTCTTTGAGACCAAGACGCTGTGAAAGAACGAGCGCCCATGCAGCGGTTGGCAGCGACCCGATGGTGATGTTTGCCGGGCGGGCAGAGATATCAAACTCCATGTATACATCCGCAGGGCCGCGGTGTGTGAGCGGAATGTCGGGCTTCAGGACAGACATCTGGGAGCTAGAGAGAAGGTTCTGCCAGTAAGGGATGGCTTTTGGCATGTTGTCTAGAACCACGTGGTTTACGTGCTTGCTGAATGGTATCGTCTCTGGTACGTCGGTGCCTGCGTATAGCGCGGAGAGCTGCTCGTACAGGATGGGAAGACAGATCTCGTCGTATTGGGCGTGGGAGATGCGGAAGACGAGGGTTGAAGCGCCGGTCCTTGCGCTTGTGAAGAGGGTGAAGGACACGAATGACGAGCCATGCGGTTTGGGAGCTTGGATGTCGTGTTTTGTGAAGGCTTGGGCGACTGTGTTGATGTCTTCGTTGTCTGGTACTGCGATCTCGGTGTAGGGAACTCGCAGAGAGGACAGCACCACGCCAAGTACCTTGCTCTCGTCTTTTACAAAGACAGTGCGCAGGACTTCGTTGCGTGCCACGAGCTCTTGGCAAGCTTGCTCGAGCTTCTGACGATCGACTGGTGTAGCGAACTTGATGAGTTCGTAACGCAGTGAGTAGCGTGGCAAGTCGACGGTACCCTCGACAGCCAGTTGTTGGAGCGGTCTTGCAGGATATATATCCGCAATCTGCCATGTCTGATCCTCCAGGTATGCACCGATGCGATCGGCACTGTATAGCGACGCTTCCTTACCGAGAGCAGCGAAAGGTGCATCGATGTTGACATTAGTCTGCGATGCATTTGCTTCCTCCGCGGACGAAGCAAGCTCGGAGAGAGATTGGCTTTGGAAGACTTGCGCGACAGTGATGTTGAGACCTTGAGCGCGTGCATCAGATACGAGACGCATGGCACCGATGGAGTCGCCTCCGAGCTCGAAGAAGCTGTCGCTACCGTTGATCTCGCTCTTGGGCATACCAAGAATGCGGCTGAGGATATCCATAAGCTTATTTTCTTTCTCGTTGCCGGTCGAAGCCGCCAACTCGGATAAAGACTGGCTCTGGAAGACTTGAGCCACCGTCAGGTTCAAGCCTTGTGCGCGCGCATCGGACACGAGGCGCATTGCGCCGATGGAGTCACCACCCAGTTCAAAGAAGCTGTCGCTGGGCTTGATCTCCGTCTCTGGCATACCGAGGATGCGACTAAGAATATTGCACAGCTTCTGCTCGTTTGGCGACGACGCCTTTGACTTGGCATCTTGAGTCGGGCTGTCGATTGGCGAGGTGCCTACACCACTGTCGCTCATGACATCTCGCGGCCTCATCGCCTCTGCATCTCGAGCTTCGGCAGGATCGAGAACAGCGACATCACCCAACTTACTCTCGGGGTTACCCAAGAACGCCGTGATGATGCGATTGAATACAACAAGTACCCTCTCCATAGCGTCCTTGCCGATGCACTTCGAATCAAAGCTGGCCATGACCAAGAAGCCGTTCTCGTCCAGTGTGCACACGAGCATGAGTGCGTATGTGTTGAACTTGAGGGCTTCACGTGCGGCTTCCGCGTCATCAGCGGGAAGGAACGTGTTAGCCGGGGCAGTCTCCATATCGACAGGAGCACCGTCATCGTCCTCTCGGGGATGCAAAACAAGACCTGTGCGCAGATCGCATGCTACACGAGCATCCTTGCTTAGTCGGCGGATGTTCTGCAATCCCAAGTGTTCATGCGGGATCTGCTGCACGGTCTGGGCGTGGACGGCTTGTAGGTACTCAGCGATTGGTCGGTCGAGGTTCAGTCGGACGCGAATGGGAACGGTTGTGATCATGGGGCCTTCGATCTCCACAATCGCGTGTACCGGCGCAGAACGACCTGTCAACGTCTCCCCAAACACGACATCGGGATGGCCCATGTACAAAGATGATGTCAGTGCCCAGGCTCCGCGGATGATAGTTGCCAGAGTAAGCTTGTTGTGCGCTGATGTTGGAACGGTAACGTAGTGTTCGAGCAACGAGTCGGCTTGGGTGACATATCCTTTCTGCGGTAGAGGAGGGAATTGATGCGGGTTGACGCCGTTCAATCGCTCTTTCCAGTAGTCTCGAGCTACAGCTGGGTCAAGGCTGGTGAGGTGCTTGATGAAGTGCTTGAAAGATACAGGTCTTTCGGTCGTAAGGCCGTTGAAAGCGCGGTTGATGCGATCAAACACGAGAGGCATCGACCATCCATCGTAAACAGCGTGATGCATCGTGATGACGAAGTGAGTCTTGTCGCTACCAGCTTCTTGAGCCAGACCGTAGCGGAATAGTGCAGTGCCCAGATCCATAGCTTCTTCGCGGTCGCGTCGAAGATACTCTGCTGGATCATAACCATGCTCGCGCAGTAGTTTGCCGTCCTTCAGGACGACCTGGTAAAGACCACGGCCAGAGACGTTAACGATTCTTGTGCGCAAGATGGGTGAGCCCTGAACTGCGACATCGAAGGCTTTCTTCAAGCGCTGAGCGGTCGCTGATGGCAATGTCGCAACTCGCTGAGCGACATAGGCATCCTGGAACTTGGCCGAAAGGGCCATGAGACCTTCTTGAAGCGGCGTGCAGGGAAGAACGTCCTCGACTTCGTCAACTTCAACACCACACAGCTTGGCAGTTTCGGCTTGTGCGGATTTCGCTTCCCAATCCTTTCCAACCAGCGAGAAAGCAGGTACGTCGTTCGTTGCTTCTTCCGACAACGGTGTTGCCTTGGCAGCCATAGCCGACAGGGTGGGATTCAGCATGATGTCTGGAACGTGTAGCAACAACCCAGCTTCTCTCGCAAGAGGAACCAGCCTCATCGCTCGGAGGGAGTCTCCGCCCATACTGAAGAAGTTGTCGTTGGCACTGAAGTCTGCTTCCCCTCCCAGAAGCTTCGCCCATAATGACCGAAGCTTGAGCTCCGTCTCGGTGGTAGGCTCTTGCTTCTCAGAGATGACGGAGTTGAAGCGCCTGAGATCTTGGCGTGTGACGGAGGTACCGATCTCGCGAAGTCGCTTCCGGTCTGTCTTGCACGACACTAGTAGTGGCATCTTCCAGAGCGGGATGTAGGCGCTTGGCACCATGTAGCCGGGAAGATCGATGGCGAGTTGCTTGGTCATAGCTTTGAGAGCTGACTGGAACTTGGTGGTGAAGCTTCCGAACACGTTTCCGTCGAGATGTCGCATACCGTTCTTTCTCTGCTCGACGAGGAAAGCGACGAGCGTCTGTTCGCCGCCTCCACTGGGCTTGATGACCTCAACAGCGAGTTGAGTGTCTGCGGGGAGATGCTTCTGCATGTTGAACTCAATCTCAGCTAGCTCAATGCGCTGGCCTCGAAGCTTGACTTGCTGATCTTGTCGTCCGACGAAAATGGGTTCACCATTGCCATCAGGGTCGAAACGTACAAGATCACCGGTCTTGTAGATGCGCCCATATCGGCCTGGATAGCTCTTGCTACCTTTGAGCAGGAACTCTGGGTCTTCGATGAACACTTCCTTCGTCTTTGACGGATTGTTGAGATACCCGTCGCCGACGATGGGGCCTTCGATGAGCAATTCACCGACTGCACCCACGGGTACGAGCTTGTTGTGATCTTCGGGCTCGGTAAGCCATATAGCACATCCCTTGCGCTTGCCCATAGTAATGTATGGCTTAGCGGCCACGTTGTCGTTGATGGTTGCACCAACAGTGGCTTCCGATGGTCCATAGGCGTTGACGACCCTGGTTCTTTGGCCCCAGGACATCGCATCGCTAGTCGACACTCCTTCGCCACCTAGAGCGATGGAATCCAAGTGGTCGAGAATGTCTACGTCCAGCGTTCGAGCAACCGAAGGAGTCATACCAGCGAATGTTACGCGCATGTCGCGCATCGCGCCACTCATGTCGTTCATACGACGTTCATCGGAAGGTGTGCAAAGCGTAGCACCATGGGCCAGAGTGCAGAGCATCGAGTCAATACACACGTCGAAGGCATAACTCGCGAAATCCAGCACGCGAGAATGCGATCGATAGCCCACAGCGTCAGCGCGCGGGATCGCACCAGACGTGTACTGACTGTGCGTAATGATGCATCCTTTCGGTAGACCCGTACTTCCACTGGTGAACTGAATGTACAATGGCTGGTCAGGTGATACTGGTGCGAGAGTGGTCTTGGGTTGCTGCGCAGCAGCTGGAGAGTACACCTTGTCGAACTTGGACGCGGAGATGGGGATGATAGTCGCCGATGGGGCGACACGCGCAGCTAGTGTAGACTGAGCTTTCGATGAGATGAAGAGCTTTGCGCTGACTTGCTGCACTACTGCTCGTAGGCGGCCTTCTGGTTGTGCTGGGTCAAGGAGCGCGAAGCATGCACCAGCCTTCATGACAGCCAACACTGCAACCGAAGTCCAACGCGACTTCTCGAAAAGTACCGGAATGATCTGACGCGGCGAGTCGTCCAGCAGTTGTAGAGTCTGCGCCAAGTCGGTAGAATAGTCTTCGACTTGACGATATGTCAAGGTGCCGTCCCAGGCCTCAATGGCGATCTTCTCCGGATTGAGCGCAGCCTGCTCGGAAACCTTCTCATGCATGCAGAACCTCAACTCTGGTTGTAAGGGATAGTTCCAACTCCAGAGCTCATCGAGTTCTTCTTCGGTAACAGGCATGAAGGAAGAGAGGTTGTGGTCAGGGTTGCTGAATAGGGTATCAAGAATTGAAGCAAAGAAATGAAGTTGCGAAACGGCTTGGTGGCGAGACATGGTCGTCGTCTGCCATCTTGAAGTGGCATGGAGAGAGCCCCCCTCCCTTCTGAATGATACTTCAAAAGTCCACTGGGTCATGTCAGTCGTGTCAGGGAAATGCTTGGGCTGGTTAATACCTCATGTAATGATCCATCGTTGAGGAAAAGAGTAGCGTTGTGCGCATCATAGTCCTTTGATCGCACATTGCTGATCTGTGACTTCAAACTCCCGGCTGTTTGGTGGCTGGCGAAGTTGATGTCGGTTGTGTTGATGGTTTGCGAAGCCCGATCACGGCCATCGACCGCGCCCCAAGTGAATTGATGGAAGACATCTCTCTGGTATCGGTGTATGAGTACCGACCATGCAGCCAGAACAGTATCCACGACGGCATCTGAGGTGAGGTCGCTAGGGATTAATGCCCGAATCTCGTTGGCTTTCGAGCTGTGGCCGTTCGTATGCAGAACGTCATGGTCGCCATTCTGGGTTGCGGCCTGCTTGTGCGTCTTCGAGGCGCCATTGCTTTGCACCTTCTTCGCAACATGCTCCTCTGGAGCACCACTGAAGTTTGATACATGCTCGCCGTTGCGAAGATGCATCTTGCCGTCGCTCAAACTGCTATGTGGTCTCTTCATGGCGAGGTCGGTATATATTTTTGGGGAAGATGTGGAGCTGAGGAAGACGTGTATGTTTCCGAGTCCGATGAAGACCCCGGATACTTCTGTAGCAATAGCCAAGCAGTGTAAAGCCGCGAGTCCACCAAGTTCACCCACGATCTTCCGTCTCTCTCACAAACTAAACTCTCCACACATCGCGCCAGGATGAATCTCCGGCACGAGCACACCAGACCGCTTCAAGTGACCCATCATCCTCGGTCGGACAGCCGTCGGCGTCATAGTTTTCTCTTACGACGCGAAAACAGGGTCCACTATATCGCGCCATTGTGTCTTTCTCGATGCAGGCTGTGTTGCGCATCGCCTAACGTAAACACGGAGGCGATGTCACCAATGTGGGATCAGGCGCAGTACCACGATTTAGCCGTAAAGAAAAGCCTCTCCGCCCCTGCACACCCATCCCCACACTTAGCGGATCAGATAATTCTAGCGTGAAAGGCGGCGTCATGAGGCTTCATCTGATAAATTTGATGATGTGGTATCGATGCAAGCGCGGAATTGCCCGATGGAGTAGGAGTCATGCAGGGTTACGTCTTTGGCGCTGCAGATCTTTTTCATCTGATAACGGCCGATGTTCGGAGAACTGCTCGCGTCCAATTACAGCATCAATGCCCGTTGCTTGCATCGATCGACAGCGTCCACCGGCTTTAAGTGTCGTGCATCATTCGTTAGGGATGTTGCTGGTTCAATGAGAAGGGCCGGCCTACAGTATGCACGCTGTACATACGGGATACGGTCATCCCACGCGTGAACGACACGGCAAATTCTCTTGTACGCGCTGATCGCGGCAAGAGGTGGATATGCGCATGGCCATGGTATTTCTCGGATTTGGCGCTCTAGGCGTCATCCGGTTGTACGACGGCACATCCCTCGCCGTGGCCGGGAAGTTTCGCTAAGGACGGATCAGATAACTTTAATCGACACATGCGAGGGGAAGGCACAGGCAGAACGGCCGGTACGCCTCAATGGAGAAGGTCTGGTTGTCATCGGTGGCGTGAGGGTTTTTCGTGTCCTAATGTGGGTCTCGCATTTTAGTTTTGCGCCCTGTAATTTAGCGTTGTGAAGCATGTGGTAGTGCTTCAGTGACAGCCGAGGAATTGGCACAGCTATGGTGCCCGTCCTCCAACTGCTTGGTATCAAAATATGTTGTATGCGTGACTGACGATCTCTGAACCGCAAGGCTGGGCATCGAGAGTGGATCGTTGAATCCGCGTGGTTAATGGGCGATAATGCTACCAAGTTCATGTCTTTGGGTCGAACAGTTCGCTGCAGCTGTCAAACGTTACCAAAACCTTCTGTTTCTAAGTTTACATCTTGACTGGCAGACGGTCTAGATCCTTCCCCGCTGCTCGATCATCCAAACGACACTACACTCAGTCGACGAATCGATCAATATGGGCTTCGTAGTCCTCCCCGCTCTGGTGCCAGACATTAGCGCGGTATACGATGTGCACTTTGCGGCCTTCAAGGACAGCCCGATCACGCGCGCGCTGTTTCCTTCGGCTACCGAGAAAGATTTGACAGACTCAACTTCCGAGTTTCGGTAAGTGCCGGTCATTGAATCGCGTTGACTGTCGGACGTGTGGACTGACTAGGAGAAGACAGGCTCACACCGGCCATGTCTCGGAGTACTGGAAGACCAGTGCAACGCAATACACCCTGAAGTGTGTCGACACCGAAACTAACAAGATCGTTGGCATGGCGCTTTTCGACGTGTACATCGCGCCTAGTGATTGGAAGAGAGGCGAGATTGGATGGCTGGAGGGCAAGGAACGTGAACGGGCCGAGGCACTTGTGAAGCCGCTTTGGGATGCGAGAGAGAAGCTGTGGCTTAATGAGAGATACGTCTACTGCCACGTCATGGCCGTGCACCCGGACTACCAACGGCGGGGCATTGGCGAGTTGCTGTTCAAGTATGAGATGGACATTTGCCGGCAGACTGGGTTGCCCATGTACATAGAGAGCTCCAAGCAGGGCATCAAGCTTTACGAGAAGATGGGAAGCAGAAGATTGAAAGAGAAGCTGGTGCACAAGTCGGAAGACATTACTCCGGAGAAGACCAACGGCACGAGGGAGGACCAAGAGCTTCCATTGTTCGTCTGGCTGCCGGATGGCGCAGAAAAGAGACTACCAAAGTCTGTGGAGCTGGCATAGAACTGGCATGGTGGAAAGCAATATAAAGATACATATTACGAACAAATCTATCCAAGCATCTGGTGAAGAGCGTTGACTCGGTAGCTCTCACTGCGCTGTACCAATTCTTCGTGGCGTCCTTGATCCACTACTTTACCTGCTTCGACCAAGAAGATTACATCGGCCCTAGCAATCGTCCTCAGTCGATGCGCGATAGCGACGACGGTCACACCGTGACCCTTGACAGCCCGTTCGAGGCCTTGCTCTAAGGCCTTCTCACTCTCCGCATCCAATGCGCTCGTACTCTCGTCCAATAGCAGCAACTTGGGCTTACGCACAAGAGCTCGAGCAATGGACAAACGTTGACGCTGGCCGCCAGATAGCTGGTTGCCCTTGGAGCCACATTCGGTGTCATAGCCTTGGGGAAGATCGATGATGGTGTCGTGTATGTTCGCCAACTTGCAGGCTTCTTGAATCTCTTCGTCGGATGGTGTGTGCCCAGGTCTTGCCCCCAATCCGATATTGAACTTGATGCTCCCTTGGAAGAGAATGTTCTCTTGGGGTACATAGGCGATATCATCGCGAAACGACGCGCCATGATGCCGAGAGATATCGAGGCCGTTGATGGAGATGCTACCGGAGGAGGGAGAGTAGAATCGTTCAAGAAGAGCCAGAACAGTACTCTTACCTGCACCAGATGGTCCGACCAAAGCGCAGAATTGGCCGGGCTGAATGGTCAAGGAAAGAGATGTCAAGACTGGCACACCAGGACGTGCTGGATACGAAAAGCCCACGTCCCGGAAAACAACCCTAGCACCACCTTGTGTGGTAGCTGGTATTGGCGATTCAGCCAGTGCCTCGATATCGTCCTGGTTCTTTTCCAAGAGACTGGGGTCATTGTGGTGACCCGTATCAGGTGTATCCTTGCCCAACTCGATTAGTCCGCAAATGCGCGACATGGCACTCTTAGCCTTCGAGATCTCAGGTGCAAGCGTGAACAGCTGGCCCCATAGCTGTGCGGAGACAAGCATGGCGATAAGAATGACGAAGAACTCAGTTTGGGTGTACCTGCCTTCGATGATGTTCTTAGTGCCCCACCAGTAGGCGAAAGCGTAAATGAATGTACCACAAGAGTTGGCGACGGCCAACCACACGTTGGTCTTGAAGCTCTGCTTCACCATCTCCTTGCGTGGAGCCTTCAGCGATCGCCTGTAAGTTTGAATGATCTCCTCTTCGATAGAAAGTGCATGCACAGTCTTGATGTTAGAGACAGCTTCGATGGTAACACCGATAGAAGAGCTGAAAGCTCCAGCGTGCTTTGCGGCGAATTTGCCAATAGCACGCAACTGCATGAAACCGGCGCCCAAGAGAAGTGGTACGACGACGAGGCAGACAATTGCAATTCTCCATGCGAGGATGTGGGAGAGGATGATGGCGGCTATGAAGTTGACAATGACGGAGAAGAGTGTGCCAATGATGGACCCGCTGAAGCCCGCCAATGATTGGCCATCCTTGGTGATAAATTCGAGGAGCACAGTCGGGCTTCTTGATTCAGACTCGTGCCATTGTAGCGGCTGTTGGAGTAACGTGTGTAGAGATAGGTTGCGGACCTTGTAGATCAATCGTTCCGACAAGAGACCAAACGACGCCCAACTGGTGAAATTGGCCAGGAAGGCGACACAGGCAAGCATGAACCACATCCCAGAGAGGAGTTCACCTCTAGAACGAACATAATCGGGCGTGTTGCATGGAGACATGGTGCCCATGATGTTACCGAACAGGAGACCCGATCCGCAGTACTGACCACCTACTACCAGTGCTGCCAAGAAAGCCAGCATTACGAGAAGTAGGTACGGTCGCGTCAAAGGAAGCATTGTCTTCCTGATAGAGCCCGCAATGACGACACCCTTAGTGTGCTCGATAGCTTCCGCAGCATTGGCGTCGTTCGCTGGCACAGCATCGGGCTCCTGCGCACTTAGCGCCAACTTCTCATTGGTGATAGAATCGGCATCGCGGGAGTCCAGACTGGTTCTTGAGCTGGTCGCACCGTCGTCAGATTTGACGCTTTGGAGGTGAACCATGTCTGCGTATGACCCTTCCAAGTCCATGAGTTGATCGTGGGTCCCTTGTTCGATGATGTCACCCTTCTTCATGACGATGATCTTCGCTGCAGCTCTGATAGTGGACAGTCGATGAGCAATCGAGATCACTGTCCGGCCGCGGGAAGCCCGTTCAATAGCAGCTTGGATGCGCTGCTCACTAGCTGAATCTAGAGCAGCGGTGGCTTCGTCGAGAATCAAAATACGAGGGTCGCGGACCAGAGCTCGGGCGAGAGCAATACGCTGCTTCTGTCCACCACTGACGAGACTGCCGCTCGAGCCAACCGAGGTCGCGAACCCGAACTCCAGGCGATCGATAAAGATAGCAACATCGGCGAGGTCCGCAGCATCTTTCACAAGCTGAACGATCTCTACAACTTCAGGACCAGCCTTCTCGGCGACTTGAGCAAGATCCTGGCCGCCCCTGACGTCTTCCGCAACCTGAGCGAGGATTCCGCTCAGCAACGTTTTCTCGAGATGGGCATGAGGCGGGCTGTTGACGAGACCGAGAGCAATGTTCTCCAAGATGGAGCGATCAAGAAGTGAAGGTTCTTGCTGGACGAGACTGATGAAACCTCGGAGAGACTTGATGTTGATGTCTTTGACATTGCGGCCGTCCAGAAGTACATCGCCAGATTCGGGGTCATAGAATCGGCTGATAAGACTAGCGACTGTGGACTTGCCGCTTCCGGAAAGACCCACGATAGCAGTCAGTTTACCTAAGTTAGATGGTCAGTATACGTACTTCCATTCCGTGCCATGTAGGTGACGTACCAGCTTCGCATGTTAAAGAAATACCATTCAGCACGGGATGATCAGGCCTTGAACTATACGTGAACGCGACGTTGCGGAACTCAACAGTCCCATCAACATGAGTAGGCTTCTCCGCGGATGACGAGGTGTTGTCGATGGTGGGTTGAGTCTCGATATCCTTGCGCAAGCGCTCGAAAGCTGATATCGCCCCGCCAAACAACGGCAACATCGGCGCGATCTGACTGAGAACGATAGCACCTAGTATCGGAAGTTAGCATCAGAAGAACTAAACGATCGGTAAGATACTGACCATCGAGCAGAATGAACGTGACGGTGTAGATCTCTCCGATAGTCGCACTGCCTTTGCCCTCGAGAGAGTCTGCGATTCTGCGACTACCCTGCCAGTAACCTAAGGCGCTGGCCGAGAAGGCGATGAAGTAGAGCAGACCAGCCTGGACCGCAGCGGTTGTGGCCTTCTTGACACCTGCTTCACGAGCATCGCTCAAATGGCCCTCGAACTTTGCCTCGAGCCTGGCATTTGCACCCAGCGCATGCACGAGGCCTACATGACTGAGAGCTTCGGACGCGATGGCGCTAGCGGACCCAAAGCAATCCCCGACCTTGGCAGCATACTTGCCAAAAAAGTGACCGCCAACCACGGCCATGAGCAAGAATGCAGGGATTAAAGAGACGAGCATGCCAGCGATCTCGGCATTCTTGATGAAGCCAACGATGTAGGCCGTGACACAAAAGGAGAGGCAAGTCAGTGCCACGCCAACCTTTTCGCCAGTACCACTCTCGATTGACTGGATGTCGCCGTTGAGTCGAGAAGACACTTCTCCGGCCTGTAGGTTGTCAAAGAAGGCCATGTCCTGTCGCAGCAGGTTTCGGAGGTAACGGTCTCGGATGCGTTGAGCTAGGCGCTGTGATGCCAAGTTCCAGCATACAAGGTGCGTGTAGATGCAAGTGAAAGTGCCACAAGCGATGTAGACGAGCAACAGGATCTTGGGCGTGATGTTGGCTTCTTCAGACCCGTTAGAGCTACCTTCGCGGTTGTTGCATGTCGCAACATTGATCTCATCGACCAGTTGACCGAAGACGATTCCGATGAGCGGGAATGGCACGCCTGCTGCAATGGCAGCTATTGCGCCCACGAAGACCAGTATCTTGTCGAGCCATGTCGGGTCTGCGTAGAAGAGGAGGTGGAGGAAACCAAAGAAGCGCCTGATAGAGGCCCCCGAGGGCTTGCTGAACGGCATTGAGCCTGTGTGATGGGTTCAGAAGCTCAAGAAGGAGTATCTCGCGCCGTATGCAATGGTGAAGCTGCGCGAAGACGCCTGCATGAGGTTCATCCGGGCGCTATGGCCCCACCAGGAGGCGATGGCCAAGATCGACATGGTGCAGCAGCAGGGTCAACGGCTAGCACAGCGTGAAGAGGCATAGCGTCACGTGAAGGAGGATGCGTGGTGGAAAGTGGTGTGGGCCGGTGTGGTTCGTGTGTGGAGGCTTCAGGACGTGTCACCGAGTCACTTGCATTGGGGTCTGTGCTCAAGTTGCATCAGATTAGATAAAATTTTGCACCATCTAGCGCCTAAACCTTGGAACCCAGAACCCACAGCTGCGCGCCATCATCCCGCTCTATATCCTAGCCTGGACCTGTAGTCCGGCGCCATCCCGTACTTCAGATGACCCTGTCGCTACCTTGCGCACGATCTCGCCAGCCATCAAGGCAATGTCCTTGGCCAATGCACGTCCGCCCTCTGACTTTGAGGACACCAGCCACAGCCGGCAGCCCTCCGCGACGGCGCCACGCTTGAACTGCACTTCCTCCAGGCTTTCTCCCTTTGGCCGGCAGCCCAGGATGAGCGAATCAATGCCCTGGAATAATGCTGTGCTCGAAAGCGGACTTGCTGCAGTATCCCTGATGATGAAGTCGGACTGTGAGCACGCGGCAGCAGCGTCCTTCCTGATGATGACGCGCAGTCTGAACTCGCCCTTGGACTGGACTAGCTTCTCGTACGCGCGCATGTAAATCGTCTGGATGAGCTCTGATGCTTCCGTGACGGAGGCTGGCTGCGCGCTAGTCGGTTTGGCCCAGATCGAGCAAAGTTGGGGTTGCGCCGGCTTCGTGTCGTCGAGAACCGTCAAAGGGGCCAGCGATTCGTCCTCTGTCACAACGGTAATGTTTCCCAGACGCGAGCACGTCAGGAGATCGTCCAGCACCTCGGCAGTCTTTTCGCCTGAGCCAACAAGAGACACGTTGAGCCGTGGCTCATTGGCTCCTCGCAGTTCGTTACGCCTGCTGGGGTACTCGTCCATGGAGATAATCCGCTGCCCGGATAGGAAGTCAACATTCGGTAATGGCTGCGCAGCCGGACTGCTCGCTCTCGATGGGGAGGGTGCGACAAGACTCCTCGCCCGCACCACGTATGTCTTGCCTGCGCTGTCCTTGACGGCCACCTTCCAGCTTTGCACAGCATCTGCCTCAACTCCGGGCGCTACACCAACGACTTCGCTGCCATAGCGGACTTCGTCTTTGAAGTGCTCGGCGGACCACCTCATGTAGTCTTCGAATTCTTCTCGTAAAGGGTTGAGACGATCCGAGTTTGAGAACTCGATGAGACGTTTACGAGCGAGCAGATAGTTGACATAGCTGAAAGCAGTCCTTGGGTTGCGCAGAGTCGCCAGGTCGTACATGAAGGAGCTCTCCATTCGCGTTCTCGAGATGTTGGATGTCGATCCCCATGAGAAGGATTTATTCTGCTCGACGAAAAGCATTTTGGACGGTGTCTTAGACTCGCGATTGGCGATGGCTGTGGCGAGTTGAGTTGCGCCAAAGCCAACGCAGACAAGGTCGTAGTATGGCGATGAGTCTGCCATAGGTGCGGCAGTCGTTGCGTCAATTGCTCTTCTCTCGGTTGAAGTCATAATGGAAGGATGTTTGGTTGATCTGGAGCAAGTATCGATTGTCGTCCTCTAGATTTGTACAGCAAGAAGGTGTTTCAGCGCTAAGAGATATAGTATCACAGCGACATAACTCGATTGCACAGCTCAGGCACAATTTGCAGACCCCGCGCACTGGCCATCATCAAGGTATACTGATGCCCACGCTCGAAACAACGATGTCACCAATGGCTAGCGTCGCCGGTACTCAATGCGCGATACATTTTCGTCCACTGACGCCGACCTGCATGGGTTTGTGGAAGCTAGACTCAGGCCCACATGGGGTGGATCAGCCACCAAATCGGAGCTTTCCTCACGCCACCTCTTGACCACAACCCTGTGACCAGATTTCCTTGCCGGAGAATGGGTAACAAATCCCTCTAAGCCTGCGTAATGCGGTGGGCTAAGCTATACCGGATATTAGGAACGACCTCGGTTAAACATTCACGCATCGTATTCTGAGCATCTTGAACGACTTCAAGCATCAGGGTTATAGCTTCTCGTACATTGCTGTCGCATGCTCAACTTTGTCTTCAGCTCCTTCTTCATCGTCCTCAATTATCATCTATCATTATGGCGCAGCAAGCAAAGCCGGATACCGCGAAAGAACCGCTCGTTCTCAAGCTTCCTCATCCATACCTTACGGCATACACTGTCGTGAATGTGGCACCAGAGGGCCAGCCTGCTAGCTACCAAGTCCAGCTATCTTCATCAAACACCACCAGCAAAGGCATCGCTCCACCCACAACCTTACATAACGGGACTGTCACATTCAGCGACGTCGCGACCTTGAGCCAAGATGCTGTTCCACCGATGGGAGATAACAGTTCTTGGGCTCGCACTCGACGATCTCCATACGTGACAGTTACGTGGACCCAAGATCGTCCATCTGTCCCGCAGCTCTGGCTCATCGCCTACGCGTTGGTCTCGCTGCACCCTCTAGTTGAGAACTTCCGCGTGCTATTGTCAGGGAAGGACTCTCAAGCACTAGCCCAAGAGCTATACGCCACTGGTTTGTTTCATTCGCATCCAAAGGGTTCCAACGCGTCGGCACCTCACGATGGCCATCTCCTCTTCCGCGGAACATTCTGGCAGGGCGCGGCATCTCCATTCGGTGCTCGACCAGTCTGGGCACCACATCTCGATGCCTCAGGAAAGCCGATCGATAGGCGGTATCCTCCCTTCCCGTTCCAGAATGCACCATCAACACAGTTTCCGGCGCTTCCACGGCATACTCAGCATCCAGTTCGGGAACCGAAACCTGAGCCGGGCTCGATCATCTATAGCCGATGGGTACCACATCTGAAGGAGCACTTCACGATGGTGGCTCTCGACTACACCAATGACGAGCATCTCCGCCTTTTCAACAAGTGGCAAAACGACCCACGTGTCGCTGCGGGATGGAACGAAACCGGTACCCTGGATCAGCACCGTGAATACCTCCGAAAGCTGCATGAGGACCCCCACGTCCTCACCATGTTCGCTGCCTTCGACGACATACTATTCGCGTACTTTGAAGTTTATTGGGCGATGGTAAGTCAAGATCTCGTTCGATCCATTGTAGCATTGAACTAATACATGTCACAGGAGGATCACATGGGCGCCCACTACGAATCCTCGCCCTATGACCGCGGAAGGCACTCACTCGTCGGAGACGTCCGGTTCAGAGGACCGTATCGTGTCTCAGCGTGGTGGTCTGGCCTAATGCACTACATGTTCCTCGATGAGCCGCGCACCTGGAACTTGGTCGGTGAGCCCGCCGCAACGAGTAGCACGGTGCTAGCATACGACTTCGCCCACGGCTTCCACGTTGAGAAGCTCATGGATCTTCCTCACAAGCGCAGTGCGCTGATGATGGTCAACCGTGAGAAGTTCTTCACGTTGAGCCCATTCACTTGGGACGGCGAGAAGAAGGTCCGCCCAAGCCTAGATGCCGGCGCAAAAGCGAAGTTGTAACTTGACATTCCGCGCTCTTTTCTCGATACCATGTAGCTATACCGCTTTCCATTAATGTAAAATGTGCCCATGTTCATCTTCCAACTCAATGCGTGAGCCATTTCCCTTTCCGATCACGTCGGAACTAGCTTCCGCCCCCAAGTACCGCATCCCGGGTTTCGCCTGGAGACGGCTGCAACATTTGTGTTATGCATTAGACAGCTTCCGCATACGCATTCACAAGCAAAATTACAAACACTACAATTCTCCCGGCTATTCGTATATCCCACGCTAACCCATGGCACGCACGTCACATATGACATGACCTCACCTCCGCTCCATCCAATGAAAGGCGGTCTGCACCCCGGTCTGCTCGCTGCAGCATGCGGATCTGATAATTAGCCGCAATGTTTTTATCTGATCCGTCGGTGCATGGCGCTCAAGCCAGTGCGCACCGCGAGTGGACGGCGGCATACACCTACATGGATGTCTTCGACCGCATTTTCACGCGCTCGCATGACGGTGACGGTCACTACTATGTGGAGATGTGGTGTGGATGCAACACGTAACGGCACTGCAGCGACACGACAGGACAGGCTCCAGCCCCCGGGTTCCAATCTCGAACTGGTAGATCGCTACGCCGATGGTGGATGTGGGATGAAAAATTATCAGATGCACCGGCATGATACCAGGGCGCCTGATGGGGCAGGTTAGAGACAGGCCAGTAAATTATCTGATCTGCTGGGGGTTTATTGCCCAGCCGGATACAAGGCGCTAGAGCATCCCTTCCCACATGTGCACCTCCACATCCAGCGCCGCATCCCATGCCGGACGCCTTACTCGTACTTTCCATCTGATAAAATTTCTTTTGATCTGATAAAAATTTGCTCTGCATCAATGCGCCTTTTACGAGGAAGGGCCCACCGATGTCGCAGCTGCTGTACACCAGTAGATGGTCCGTTTAATCTTATCAGATCAAGATCGAGCGCCCGACCCTTGTCGGTCTACTACCCCGACAATGGTGGCTTCGCCGCTTGCTGTCATCGGTCCCAACATGCAATGGGAACGAACTACACCACGGGGCGATGCGACTTCGAGCGACGATCTTTGCCTGCTGTGAGTAAGGAAAATTCTGCCCATCACTTGATGGTGCCTTGTTAGCCTGGCTGCGGCGTTGCGTCCGGAAGGAGCAGGGCTGAGCGAGAGGCCAGCGATGGCGTGGGTAGTCGATCGAATCGTGAGTGATGGCCCACAGACGCGTCGTTTCGAGGGCTCCGGAGACGGCTTGTTTGGAGGGCGAGATGGGTTGCCTTGTTTGTGCTCTTAGATCCGAGCCATCGGCGAAGCACCGTCATTGAGTTGTTGTTATCGCTGAGTGCTATGGCCGAAGTTGCTACGTCGAAGGTTCATCGTTGGGTGATTGATTGCCTTTGGGTGTTGTTGTATACTATTGCTTCTTTATCGTTTTCTTTCTACGCCTTCAATCAGCTTAGTCGCCAACTTATACCCACCGTTGCGAACTCTTAGTTTGGGGTAGCATTCGGATCGCTTCAAGACGCTGCTTCCGAGGGAGCGACATACACACATCGACATGGGGGAGATATACGACCAATCGCGGAATGACGCATTACAGCGTCTGAACCAAACACTACTTCAAATCGACCCTTACATCCTACCACCATATCCCAACCTCTCCATCGTCGCAGGACCATTGGACCCACCACTACTCCAATTGACACTTTCACAACTACTTCAGCGACAAGTCGAGTGCTATCCAGACAATGAAGCTGTTGTCATACCCTGGACAGGTGCGCGGTGGACGTATAAGAAGCTATGGGAGGAGTCAAGTTTGCTCGCAAGAGCACTATTGAAGGAGGGAGTGCGACCGAGGGATAGAATAGGAATCATGAGCGGGAATTGCGAGAAGTACATTGCTCTCTTCTTTGCTTGTGCGAGAGTAGGGGGTATTTGCGTTACCCTCAACAATACGTATACGGCGACGGAGATGGAGTATGCGCTGAAGCACACCAGTGAGTTATGCTGACATATGACATGGAAGAAAGACTGACCATGGTAGAATGCAGAATACTATTCACGACACCTACGATCGCGCGCTTCGACAACGGGCCATTGCTCGAGAAGCTCAGCCAAGACGATATCAGCTCCGCACTACCAGACCTCAAGACCGTGTGCCTGATACGCGGTCAACACGACAGCTTCATCTCCTACTCTTCCCTCATCGGAGAAGCTCAATACATCCCCGAGCACATCCTAGATATCTTCGACGGCATAATAAGTCCTTACGATGTCGCGAACCTGCAGTTCACGAGCGGTAGTACTGGCAACCCGAAGGCTGCCATGTTGACACACCAGTAAGCGTTACCATATCATCTCAGCTGGTCTTTTACTGATGTATATAGCAACCTCATCAACAACTCCCGCTTCATCGGCGACCGCATGGACCTCACACCGAACGACACCCTCTGCTGCCCACCACCTCTCTTCCACTGCTTCGGTCTCACCCTCGGCCTCCTCGCTTGCCTCACACACGGCGCAAAGATTGTCTTCCCGGCAGAACAATTCGATCCAGTCGCTTGCATGCGCGCTATTGACGCTGAGCGGTGCACAGCCTTACACGGTGTGCCGGCTATGATGGAATCTATAATGGACGTGCCACGGCCGGAGGGCTGGACCAGCGATCTAAGAACAGGCATCGTAGCGGGAAGTCCAGTGCCGAAGTGGCTGATGGAGCGCATGGTCAATGAGCTCAACATGTCGGACTTCACGTCCTCGTATGGGCTCACCGAGGCCAGCCCGACGGTGTTCAACGCACACACAACTGACTCGCTGCATGCGCGGTTGACTACTGTCGGAACGGTGTTACCACATGCACGCGTCAAGATCGTGGATCATCAGGATCGCGTCGTCCCAATCGGCGTCAGAGGCGAACTCTGCGTTGCTGGATACCAGGTCTGCCGCGGATACTGGGAGAATGCTGAGAAGACGGCAGAGCTCATCGTTCGCGATGAGTATGGCGAGCCTTGGCTTCATACTGGTGATGAGGCGGTTCTCGACGTGGATGGTTATTGCACCATCACCGGTCGGTTCAAGGATATCATCATCCGAGGTATGTGTCTCCCTTCCGTCAACACAACCATTGAAGCCTGCGTACTAATGAAATGTTAGGAGGCGAAAACATCTACCCTCTCGAAATCGAAGAACGTCTCGTCGCACACCCATCCATCGCCCGCGCCATCGTCGTCGGCGTCTCACATCCGCGCTACGTCGAAGTGCCCGCCGCTTTCCTCCTACACGAGCCCAACACGGATAAACCGGATTTGGCTGAGGTGCAGGGCTGGGTGCGGAAGGTGCTGGGCAGGCATAAGGCGCCTGTGCATATCTTCTGGCTGGGGGAGGATTGTGATGCCGAAGTACCGTTGACAGGCAGTGGTAAAATCAAGAAGTTCGTGTTGAAGGATGTTGCGGAGGGTTTGTTAAAGCCCGCGGCGGGGAGGTAAGCACTGTGTCACGTGCTGACGTGCCGCGGATGAAATTTAGCGTGTTACGGTTTCGCGCAAACATCATTGTTCTTATCGCGACTTCATCATCGTCTTTGCGCGGTTGCTTCTCTTCAGCTGTGTACATGTTACCGACTTCCTGAATTATTTTGTACCTCTTGCTCAGACTCTTTCCCCCGCTGACAGTCGTTCCTGTCGTCCACAACTTGACGCTCCACGGAGTCGCACAATTGACGTCATGTCGTCGTCAAAGCTACACCATTGCCAATGCTTTGTTTTGGCTCACGCGACGCACTGGACCAATGATGCACCAGCTATTACATGAACCCGTCATGATAATTGACAGTTTAGGCATATACAACACTATGTACCTCCACGTGCAGCTCCTACGCTCCTTCCACCTGCCGTTAAGACATGTCGCTGTCTGCCCCTCGTCTCTTCCGTATCTCTCTCCTACGAAACACCGCACGAGTATCCTCCATACGTCTAGCTTCATATAGCAGACTCGCGCCCCGCCTACAGCAAACACCGAAATACGCTTTCGCAGGACAACGAGCGAATATGGCGACCGTGAGCGGCGATGCGCCAGTAGCCACGGCCAAGACTTCGAGCCCACAACACTTCATGTACACGAGCGGAGAGACGGACCCTGTCTGGATTCACCACTTGCCGTACAAGAGCATCCCCAAGTTCCCCAAGCTTGACAAGGACCTCGAGACGGACGTCTGCATTGTCGGCGCCGGCATCTCCGGTGTCTCAGTTGCTTATGAGCTCGTCACTCGTGGCCTGAACGTCGTCTTGATCGAAGGCCGAGAGGTACTTTCAGGTGAAACTGGACGTACCAGCGGTCATCTCGCCAACGACCTAGACGACGGCTACACTGCGATTGCGAAGAAGCACGGGGACAAGGGCGCAAAGGCGGCCGCCGAATCACATACCTGGGCGCTCAACCGCGTCGGCGAGATCTCCAAGCAGCTGGGCATTGAGTGCGAGTACCGCCATCTTCCCGGCTACGACTTCTCGCAATACCCCAAAGACTCAAAGGACCATGCGAGCGACATCAAGACTCTCATCGAAGACGGCGACAAGGCGAAGGCGCTCGGTATCCCCACGGAATACAAGGAGGGTTTCAAGCTCAAGGGATGGGAAGGCAGCATTGATCAAAGCGATGCCGTCATATACCCACAGCAGGCGACGTTCCATCCCACCAAGTACGTTGTTGGTGTGCTCGATTTTCTCAAGCAGCAGTCCAACTTCTCGTGCTACACCAACACTCGATGCATCGACGTGCAGGAGAAGGGCGTAGAGATCATGGGCATGGGCCACAAAGATGTCTACGTCAAGACAGCCGACGGAAACACCATCAAGTGTGCTGATGCCGTCGAGGCTACTTGTGTCCCGCTTCAGAAGCTCTCTGTCATTGCCGAGGAGGAGTACTTCCGCACCTACTGCATTGCTATTCGCGTGCCCAAGGGTTCAGTCGAAGACGCCCTAATCTACGATTCGGCCGAAATCTACAAGTACATACGTCTCACCGAGTGTGACGAGAAGGATGACTACATGGTCGTAGGTGGAGGTGACCACAAAGTTGGCCAAGCCGACACCGTCGCACCCTTCAAGGAGCTTGAAGAATGGACACGCGCCCGCTTCCCACAAGCAACCACAATCGATTACAAGTGGAGTGGTCAGGTCTTCGAGCCCGTCGACCACATGGCGTTCATCGGCAAGAACCAAGGAAACAAGCACATCTACATCATCACCGGTGATTCTGGCAACGGTCTGACTCACGGCGTCCTCGCCGGAAAGCTTATCGCAGACTCGATCACTGAGCAACCCAATTCCTGGATCGCCGCCTACGACCCCAAGCGTCTAGCTTCCATCGCAAAGTCCGCAACCAGCATGATCAGCCACGACCTCCAGATCAACGCCCAGTACAAGCGCTTCGCTCAGTCGGATATCAAAGACATCGAAGACCTCGTACCCGGTGAGGGCGGTGTTCTCAACACCAACCCCACTAACCCGCTCGCTGTGTACAAGGATGAGGGTGGCCAGGTTCATAAGTTCTCCGCGCTTTGCCCGCACCTGAAGGGCGTGGTCTGCTGGAATACGACTGAGAAGAGTTGGGATTGCCCGGTTCATGGGAGCAGGTTTAGTAAGGATGGTGTGCAGCTGTGTGGGCCGGCGAAGATGGGTCTTGGGCCTGCGAATGAGAGTGGTGAGAAGATGCAGCAGCAGGCTATTAAGGGCTGAGTGTTTGATGCGATTAGTCTCAGGCGGCGAGTACGGTAAAATTACTTTATGAATGGAAAAACATATTTCAAAGTATCATCACGCTGTTGCGTCATGGTGTCATTGGTGTAGACTGATTTAAATCTGAGCACAACCACAGGTCATGCAGAACGCTCTTTGTGTCAAACCTCTGTAGAGAAGCTTTTGGCTTAGGAGAAGACAGCAAGCCACTCTAATTGCCTGGCAAACATGCACCTGCCTCTTACCATCATGACAGAAAATATCACATCCTCTTTCACTGCCCTTTCACGCTCACCTCCACCCATTCCCCCACAATCACTAACGTCATACCAATAACAACGCGCACTCTCACTTACACACAACATCCCATATACTCAAAATATTCTATACGAATCTTACCTACCGTCGCCAATCACCACCTCCACACTCGCTCGCTCGCTCGCTCCTGTAGTCCACTCCTTCCGCGCACCCAAAATGGCAACACCAAACCGCAACCGCGCCCGCAGCTTCCAACGCGTCGACCGCGCACAAAGCATACTCTCTGACTCCCAGGCCTCCTTCAACACACCGCGTCCCACACCGCCACCGCCACCCACGCGAAGCGGTCGCGGCGTACGCGCCAACAGCACCGTCAGCGACGCACCCTCGCTGCTCGAACAAGACACACCGGGAAAGTCCGCGAGGAAAGAAGCAGCAGCCGCAAAGTTATCCGCACACTACCACTTCGCACCCACGGTCCCGAATCCGTTTGCAGGGACGCTGGAGGCGAGTTTGGATGCGATACAAGCCTGGGGGAGAGTTCATAGCAACCTTGGAACGAAAGGACTACATCCGCTTATCGACACTTTACTCTGGCCTGTGGATAACAAGACGGATTGGCCGGCCTTGTTCACCGCGCTTGAAGACCGCCCTGCAGGCCGATTTCGGTATCTGTGCGAGGAGGTACTTTTCCTTGTCACGCGGACGTTGCTGCCGGAGGGGATTGTGCAGAATAGGTCGCTTATGGCTAGGCTTTATAATAGGAAGAAACAGCTTGCTATGCGGTTGGTGCTGCGGTATGATATGTTGCGCGAGTGGAAGATTGAGCATGGGGCGACGGGTCGTGAGATGCCTGTTGCTGTTGCGTCGGTGCCGCCGAAGGGAGTTCCGGCGCCGGAGCCAGTACCCGTGAGTTTCCCCGCCAGGTTTCCGCATAGAAAGGCGCGGCTGCCTAATATTATTGCGACGGTGATTGCGGCGCCGGCGGGAGGGTATGGGACGCATGGTGTGATCGCGAGGATGAAGCATCATGTTACGGCTTTGGACGATTATCTGCTGTTGACTGATGAAGAGGTGGCGGGGTTGGGTGGTATCGCGCTGTTGGAGAGGGTGTGGCAGGTTCTTCTGCATTGGCAGTGGTTGAGGCAGAATAATGAGGTTCTGGAGGAGATGGAGGTGCATGGGTGGGAGGAGCTGGAGGGCAAGGCGGATGAGTCGGAGTGGATTACTGATGATGTGAAGAAGAGTGCGCAACCTGGGAGTAAGAGGGCGAGAGAAAAAGAGGATGAATAAGGGTTGAGGATCGCAGGTGATTTCAGGCTGAGAGCTATAAGTAAGAAAGGTGCTGCCAGGAAGATTTGCAGCTAAAGAGGTGCGCTGCGCACTACAAAGCGCCTAGTCGGTGGACGCTGCTGTTCTTGCTCCAGCGACGGAACGTCTTGCCTTTCCACCAAAAGAGAATACCGAACGAGCACCAGAGCGTAACAAGAGCTGCGTTGGTCATAATGGGCGAGATAAATCTACTACAGTCAGCAATACTCTTCATGATCAGATTTACGCGTCTTACCCAACCTCTTCACTCCACGGCGTGATGAATTTGCCAAACCCGTAGCCCCAAAGATTCTTGTTGACGGTGATGGCGACGAATAACGAGCCTGCAACGGGCTTGTACGAGTCAACAGCATATGTACTGACGATACCTGGTAGCGCTGCAACCTGGATACCAGCGCACGTGTAGCCAATGACGATGATAGCTTCCCAAGGCCACTTGCGCTCATAGCCTATCGCGACGACGATGTTGCCGATGAACATGATGACAACATATGGTATCATAGCTGGCAACCGCATCTCTGGTTCACGAATACCATTGTTCTTCCTGGTGCTCCTTGCAGACACCCAATCGCTGAGTGGGCCAGCAGTGAAGAGTCCAATGAACGCGCCGACCATGATGGCAAAGTTTGTGAATCCGACAGTCATGGGCTTCATGTTGTAGGGAGGTAGGGCGAGGACTTGGCTTTGTGTGAGGTTGATGGTGAGGAAGCTGGAGCATGACCAACTGACGACGAAAGCGGCGAATTCGACAATGGGGAAGGCGAACAGTTTCCAGGGAATCCAAAGGTCGAGGAAGATGGAACGGAACGGATGGGCGTTTGGTTGGAAGATCTTCCACTGCCATTTGCCAGGTTTGCCGCGGCCAAGAAAGGGGTCTCGCTGGGCTGTCTCGGACATCTCTAGGCCCGCCGTGTTTGGTAGGACGGAGTTAGCTGTGTTGATGTGCTGGATCGGGTTTGTCTCTTTCTCGCTGTCGGAGTGGTTGATGTCTTCATGGGTAGTCGCTCGCGTCTTCTCTTCTAGGGAACTGGACTTCTTCTGTCCCAAGTGCTCGGGCAACGCGCGCTTGAACCTTGTTTCGGGGAACATGAAGACCACCATCAATAATGAGAGGCCGAGGATGCCAGTATTGAGCCACCAGAAGCTGCGCCAGCCGACCGTCTCAGTCATTGATCCAGACACGATGGGACCGACCATCAGCGAGCCCATGTAGACTACCCAGTAAAGAGTGTTCCACTTTCCACGGTCGTGCAAGAAGAATATGTCGGCGATGATCTCGGGCATGATGGTCTCGGCCGGTCCAGCACCAATACCATTGAGGATGCATGCGCCCATGAAGGAGTTGTAGGAGTTGGCCTTGGCGCGCCATATCGAGGTACCGAAGTTGATGAGTTGGGATGCGAGATAAACCGGGCGACGTCCGAAAGATGTACTGATTGGAACCCTAGCATTACCCATTAGTCTTTGGCGTCTGTACCATGGTCTGATGGTACTCACCAGATGAAGTTGCTAAATCCCAGTACCAAGATGCAAACACCGGTGAATTGGACTGCTCCGGCCAAATCGGTGTTGAAAGCTTCTATCAGTGCCGGAAACATTGGTGCTAGAGCCAATGGACCAAATCCTTGCGTGAACGTGGCCATTGATGCCGCGATGATGCATGCCATCTTCCACCCGGTACTCCAATTAAGAGGATCGTTGGGATCATCGCTGGGTTGTGGAACGAGGACTTGGCGGTGCGCTCCTTTGACGAAGTGGTGTGAGCCTACATCTGCCATGACCTCCGTGCCGGGAAGGATCTCTGTGTGGAGCTCGGCTTCGAGCTGCCGGCGTTCCTGCATCTCTTAGCACAGGGTAGTATCAATTGTATCGGAGACTTACATCTTCATTGTAGTCGTGTGCCTCCATCGTGATCAAAGCAACTGATGTGTGAGAGGCAATGGTTGTGCTCAGACCAAGGACGCAGCGAGGTACTTGTATCGCGTGTTGTACGAAAAGGCGCACTTCGCGGGCCTATTCTGACTCAATCTGGGATGTCGGTGCTATTGCGATTCGACTTCGAAAACCAGCCGGAGTGCAAGTCAGACGTGGCTTGCCATAGAGCGCGCGTGAAGATGTCGGCAGGATAGCACCGTGAGCACCTCTCGTGATCCGGCAATTGTAGTCGGAGCAGAATCCAAGACAAAACGTTACTAAAATGTGTAGACAACGGCCGGCCGATCCTCCGCTGAGCGTCTGGCTACTTATCGCCCAGCCTGATTTCCAACAGCCAGGTTCTCCGCATCTTCCACACGTGAAGGACCTGCGTGCCGTCTCATCGTTCATAGCACATCATCTACGGCATACATCAGCGCGCGCTGTCCAGTCATGAGCCTTGAGCACGTATTAGCCTCTGTTTAGCCCCGGTACGTCGATACATACCCATGTTCGCAGCGCTGGAATCTCGACCCAGGTTCCGGGATCGAGCGGCAGCGGATGAAGTGGGCGGCAAATGTCTTTCGAGCACGCTCAGCCACGCTGCGCAAGTTCACGCGAGGGTTAAGCTGACCGCATGGGAATTTGATCGAAAGAGTGATGGTTTGGTGATCGTGAGTGAGGTTTGACGACTTGTGTAACTGCCGAGCCGCGCTACTCCGCTACGTCACTAGTGCGATGCGGGGAAAATAAGGGGAAGCCGCCACGAGAAGACTAGAACGCCGAGCTTACGACACCAACTTTGACAGCCCAGCATCACGGTATCCAGCCTGTCAATACGCCTATCGACGGGATCTTGCTATTGGTATATACAATCTGTTCAGCCTACTGCACAACTACCTAGGTAGGTTGCTGCGCCTTCGTGCCGTGCGCGTCATAGCCTCAATTCTCATCGTCCTTCCACGTCTCCAGGGCTCTCATACCAGAGCTCCCACGAGTCTCAATCTTCGCACTCAAACCGATCGTGTACTTTCGGATTGTAATCCAATCGGCGACTCGCTAATTCCCATGGAAACTCTAAGATTGCTTTTTGGCCGGGAGGAGGTGGTCCGAATGCCTTCCACCAGTGGCATGGACGCTTGCAGAAGCATGCAGGAGGACTGGCAAGAGAGAGTTAGAAGACGTAGCATCAACAACAGAATGATGATGCAGCAGAACATGACTTACAGAGGTCGCTGCATGTAATGTGACATGATGACTTGCCTCTCGACGGAAAAGTCGTGGAGCGTACCGTTACGCTCATCATGCAGGATCGCCTCCCATGTGGTACGCGTGCTGTGCTTCACATGTCCTGAGATATTCACGGATGGGATTCCTCGAAGCGTCTCCAGCGCAAGGGTGAAGAACCAGTTCAAGAGAATCTTTTGGCAGGAGATTATGTCAGTATAGTAGTACTGCAATGCTGGGGCCCAAGGGTCGTGAGAGACGAGGCGACGTCGATCATTGACTATTTGCACCTTACGGGGTGTGGACACTTGGAAATGGAGATCAAGACGGGCGAGCGTCGGGATCTTCCCAAGAACAAGGATTGGAGCCTCATCGGGTGACACCATCCGGCGATGGTCATCGAAGCCTAAAAACTTGAACCAGATAGAGTTGGGAAAGCCGAGGGAGATATGGCGGAGCCATTTGCCTTGGAAAGCAGGAACAACGTCTGTGAGCATCCAGAAGTCATGGAAATGCGGAATCGTCGATGTCTTAGTAAATTCGCGGATCTCGGCTCTCACCTGCTTACAGATGAACTGTAAGCCCAACCCTTCGGAAGGTGGTCTATTTCCTGTAGGATCGAAGGAGTACTGAGTGGTGAACGCGAACGCCGACCAACGGTCACTATACTTGGTGTGCATTGCCTGGCCGAATACCTTCACTGTATCCTTGGTAGGGCTTTCCGAGTGGTTCAGCTCTGAACGAGGCCATACATACGGGCCGATGACATGTCCATATATCATCGAGCGAAGTTCGAGAGGTAAGTTTAATAGCCTAAAAGCTCGCCCATTCCGCTGCCACCAGCGTTGTTGGCTGTAATTATGGACAGGGACGTGTATTGTCGCGAGCTTCTCTATAAGCCAGTGTTCGAATGAATGCCATTGACCTGAGTGTCTAATCTCCAGGTTGCTCAGGAAGGCTGATACAGAAGGAGAGACAAGAGCCGAAGAGGGTCGCCGGCGTATCTGAAAGTCAACTGTCTTACCAGCCTCGTTAGCAGTATCAAGTGAGAAAAACGACCCGTCTTTCAGAGCTTCCAGAGACATGTCAGCGGTCGAAGTCTTCCTCCAGAACTCGAAGTCGGTGTTGCGCAGCTCGAGAAGATGGTCTTGCAAAATGCGGTAGTCAACGAGCTGAGGGTTTTGTCAGCCTAGTATTCGAGTAACACCCAAGTTGCACCTACAAGCCCGGTATCCTGGCTAAAGACATCGTATTCGCACCGGTCCTTGATCCAATCACGCAAGGGACGCCAGCTACGGCCTGCGCGGATCTGGACACATGCCAGAGGAGCCGCGTCTACGACGTCTGACTTTTTTGACAACGATAGATCATAGCGTATCTTGAAGCGAGGGGTTCTTGGGCTTGTACCAACGAAGCTATAGTAGCCGGAAGAAACTTGTTGGATCTTTCGCGGAGACAGCTTGAGCCCGACCGTTTTCGCGTGGAATGTGGCGCATCCGTGGCGCTTCTCGGCAATGTACTCGTTGATCTTGGCCGAGATCGAGTCCTTGGATTGTCAGTGTTGCCATACAACAACCTCGTATGAGACGAACTTACTGCTTCTTCGACTGCATTGGGATCTTCATGACGACTCGAGTGTTGTGACATATTGCCGCTTGGTCTAGTGGTTGAGTACAAAGCGACTGGTCATAGTTCGGGAAGGAGTGTGATGGACAGAGGTTTTATACACGCAGGCGCAAAGAACGGACGAGTGTATGGCCTTTAGGCAGCGGTCTGTGTGAAGGGTTCCGGTCTATGTCATATCAGCGCGCCAAAGCTTTCTCGACGCTGAACAAGGGTGATATCAGGGTAGAAGCTGGGAACCTGTAATTGCTTGTCGGCGAAATGATCTTGTATGGACTGCGACCGTGGTATGAATCGGTGACTACTAGTTCTCGAGCCCGCACAAGATGGTAAGATACGCAAAGTAAAAATGAAGTGCAGATAAAGGGCGAACAACGCACTAGGTGGGAAGTTTGCTGTGTGATGATGAGATTGGGAGAAAGGCATGGTGGAAAGCGGCGCGGTAAGTCTTTTCGCACATTTCATGGAGCGCATTTCGAGATTACAAATTATCGGTTGCTAATGCGACAGTTAGGCAGGACACCTACATCGCATTCGTATTGTCTGAATGTGTTCATTGGAAGTTATTCTAGACTACATAACAGAGTACGGCCTACTTGCGTCAAGACCAGACTCCGCTAAAACCCTGTACACCTTGGATGCATTCACGTCATCACCTCTTAGAACCAGGAAGACTCTAGGGTCGCATTTCCTCCATCCTCCGCGGGTGCCTCTTTCGTGACACCGGTGGGAAACTCTGGCGCATACTTGCCCTTTACCCACCTCGCGAAGTCTTTATCCATCCCATGGAATCTCTTCATGCCGCAAGTCTCGAGACCGTCAGTGATGCATCTCGTGTCCTGGCAGACATGCCCATAGATGCAATCGATGCGACGGCATTCACTACCCATGTTGCAAGGCTTCCTCTTGACTGTGTATTCAAGCACCTTACGAACCTGGGTACTGATATCCGAGTGGTCGAACGCGCACAAGTCCTGGTAGTGGCATACGTTCGCGAGATGGAACCATTTACAAGGCTGTCGCTCGCCGGTATCATACTTCCCGGAGTACAATTGTTTGTCGGAGAAAGGAGGTCGCTTCATGTAGTAATCGAGGCGTTGTCCGTCTGCGTTGATGGGTACGTGGCCGGGAATTGCGTCACGCAGCTGTAAAAGTCGACCTGGTTGACGATGCGCATCTGTGGTGCCGTTCAGTGCAACAGAGTCAACATCGTCATCGTGGCTACTGTCAATACGACCTTGGACGAAGACCTTGTTGCTGATCAACTTCTCCACAAGCCGCTTGCCAACTGAATGCGAGGTGAGCGAGGAGAACGGATCTTTCCCTTCAGGCTCGCTGAAGACTTCCGGGATGTTGATAGATTTGCATGGCAGACGAAGCGACTGGGCACCTGCGCCCATGGCCTTTCCATGAACTAGCGTCGCTTGTTTGGAAGGTTTCTGCAGCATTCCGAGATAGACGGGTCGCATCCAAGCGGCGAAGAAGACGTGCTTGCAGTTCGGGTCATGGCGAGCTGCTTGGAAGGCATCTAGTAAAGTAAGCATTATGTATACGAAGCTGCTTGTTTCGCGTAAAATATAACCCACTCCAGAAGTATACGTTGTGTTGCGATATACGCTTTGGCAAGACACAACTCAGCGTATACCTCCAGGGAATAGTATGATTGGTGTACGATTTGTAAGATCTTGGGTTGTGGGTGTCACTCACCGGCGACTTTGACTTCCACGATAGCCTCGTCCCGAACTCCGATGAAGTCGAAATAAGGGTCCATCGAAGAGAACTGGATAGTAAATTGCTGCAGCGGGCAGAGGAAATCATTCTCCAGCTTGGCAGAATTGGCGTAGACGCGAACCACCAACCGAGACGTGCGAAGTGACGCAGCTGATGAGATTTCGATCAACTGTTTCCTAATCGCGTCGTACAGGCGATTTCTGATGTTGTATGGTTGATCGCGGTCCAAGGCGGGGTAGTTCTGGTTGGAGGACTTGTTGAAGATCTCGTTGATGAACTAAGAAGCAGTTAGCATTAGCAGTCTGTACAATGACTGGAACATAGAAAGGCGGTCGTTATTGGAAGTTGTAACCTACCCTGAACGTATTCAATGCGACATATTGGATACTTTGTCAAAGCACAATACGGCGTATAGCTTCAGGGTGCGATATACATGGGTAATGCAACTTACTGGATGGCTATGCGCATCGATCAAGACCAGCACATAAGAGTTCTCTGATGAGTGGGACTGCTCCAAGACAGCTGCAGCCTCTAGCAGCAGGCTCTTTGACGTGTCTTGGGTGTTCTCGTCGCCGTTGGCGAGGCTACGCAGGCGTGCCGACAAGTCAGCGAGTTTCTCGGAGTCGGCCATGTTGTTGGGGTAGTCGAAGAGAAGAGAGGATGACTGGAGGGTAGCTGTGAATCGTTTACAAGATCCAGGTCAACACGCGTCGCTCCTCATCTTCACCATTCACCGCGCCAAGGCGGTGAGCGTGCGGCGATCCACCGATTAGGAAGTCAACATAACAGACGCGACAAAGACGCTCGACTGGATCGCAGTCAAAAGCGGTAGAAGCAGATGGAAGCAATGGTAAAGAGAAGTAACGCAAGATGTAGACCTGTCGACCACACGTGAGACTGTGTAACAAGTATCAAGGCACTATTAAGGTCAATGGTGGTCGAAGACAAGGCCTTAAAGGCCGTAGTACAACGTCGGAAGCACTGCATATCTTGACGCAGTGCCAATACCATCTCCGGTACCAAGACCTAAGTATCGGCCATCCCAGCTGAGCAGCTTCTCTTCACATGCTTGATTTGAATATCTCTTTCTCCCTTTCTGGGCAAAACGAATAGCTTTCCAGCAAGCATATGCGATCAAGCACCGTTAGCGGCTCGTGGACCCTGGGAGTGTCTGCGTCTACCAAGTGGGCAACATGGCGAGAGAGAACGATCCTCAAAGATTTCCATAAAATGCATCGAGATGTCGTGAGGACGTATCTGTTGAAGCGCAACGTAAGAACTACCCGCGCGGTCGGTATCACCAGCGCTCTAAGATGATGATCAATGACGTCATCACCATTTCCTTTTCCCACAATCCCAGCCACACTGACCCGCGTGGCTGTTCCTGTTTCACCATCCACATCAACAACATTAGAGTACCCTCTTTAATAGCACACTAGACTCTTTGCGCCACGCTTCGATATCCTCGCATCAGTCTGCCCGCGTGGGCGGAATACTTGCCCCAGCTCCTCTAGGCCAGCGTAGCACGCTCTTATGGCGAGAGCAGCCACCTGCTCACTACGCGCGAGTGCACACACCAATAACGATTGCCAACTCGTTTGCGATCATCGTACGGCTTTTCGGAAGCACGGCAACTTCCCAGTGTCACTGTTAAGTAGCCCTTGAACGTCTCGCTACGCCGTTTGATGTTATCGGTATCGCCATCGGTTCTGCTGCGTTGCGAGAGGCGCTGCTTCAACATAGACTCAGAACAGTCAAAGACTATGAGAAGATCGATAGAATCAACATCCCGTTCAAGATACTGCTTGGTCAAGTGTTTGCGAGATTACTGGTGGTAAGCGTGCGAGCCTCGTTTTATTGTGGTCTAGTGCCTATGAAACCATCATCCAGGAAGAACGTCTCATTTCACCATCTGGAGCACTCTTACCCAATTTGGTTCCTTACGGTCTAACGCAACCATTGCGAATCTCTGCATCGATAATACTCGTGTAGGGGCTGTCAGGCTGAGTGGCGTCTGCCTGCAGAACGTCTCCTACGCTCAAGTGCGCACACAAGAATGTGGCTGAGTTGGCCGTAAGGTATGGAGTAAGCGCGCGGAACCGGAACCCCCGAGAACGAACATCACGCGCATATTCTTGTCTGCAACCTCCTGAATACCCTGCGACTTGTCCAAAATACTGAGCCATTCGGCATGGAGATTCAGGGTTGCTTGTGTGTGTACTAGCCGAGATTGGCACACTAGGGCTTCATAGGTCAGCATGCAGTCAACCCCCGGGGCGCGCCCTTGAATGACTCCACATTTCGCGAACGCAGTCCATTCCATGCGTCATGTTGGCGCGGATGTCACAACTTCCGCAGTCCACTCCTTCCTTTCTTGAATAGCACTGACTATCCCTACTGCGCAACATGGATTCGACTGTCGGTACTGTGTCGCTTGGTATGGTGGTTATTGATGAGATCCACTTGCCAAAACGATCGCCTTTGATTGACGTAGCGGGGGGCTCCGGAGCTTACGGTATGTATCTTACACATGTGGCGCTCCCAGAACGCTTGTAGACTTACGATAAACAGCAACGCTTGGGAGCCGCCTGTTCAAGACCCCTGCGCGATCGAAGACGGTGGGCTGTCTGGCTCTTGTGGGCTACGACTTTCCCGATGTTGTGCGAGAGTAGCTACAGGCCTGGCGGACCACTCTGCACGTAAACGTCTCGCAGGACAGACTGAGCACCAGAGGGCTTCTTGAGTACGAAGATGATACATTTGGACGTATGTAACTGCCTTGTTCCAGTGATAAACTTTTGAAGCTTACGATCGCCTAGCGAAGAAGTTCCGCTATACTACGGAGCCGTTGAAGCCATCACCAATCGATCTGGTAAACACAAATCTACTTGGCTCGGAAGCATTTCATCTCCTTGCACCGCCCGAGGTTGTCGAAACACAGATTCCAGAGCTGATAAAGCTTCGCATGCAACACGGGTTCAAAAGCCGGCCATTCGTAGTGTGGGAACCATTTCCAGCAGCTTGCACCGTCCAGAACCGACCCTCATTCCTGGAAGCCTGCAGACTCGTGGATGTGTTCTCGCCCAATCATTTGGAAATGTCTACCATGTTCGAGAGTTCGCCTTCCGAAAACTTCCAGCCTGACCGACTGGAAACATATGCACTAGAGTTCAGCAAGGCAATCGGACCGAGCAGAAACGGAATCATTATTGTGAGAGCAGGTGAGCATGGCTCACTGACCACTCAATATGCAGCCAAGAGTGTATGGCTACCCCCATACTACGAACCATCGGTGACCAAGGTTGTCGATCCTACAGGAGGTGGCAACACGTATCTAGGCGGGTTTATCGCAGGCTGGAAAGCATCAGGAGATATTCATGAAGCATCTATGTACGGTAACGTGGCTGCAAGTTTTGCTATCGAGCAGATCGGTTTCCCTTCTTGTGAAGTGAGCGATGGTGAAGAGATATGGAACGGTACTCGGGTAATGGAGCGTCTTGCTGAGTACAGAGCACGGCTCAGCTCCACGGGAAAGAAATGAAAAGAATATACCACACAGGTAGAAGAAACCGTTGCAATGATCGACTCGACTGCGCGTTTGGGAGATGTCCATCTAGATGACAAAGGTTTTGATCCTCCTTCGCTCTCCTCAAGAAAGCCTCCCAGCCTTCATTCCGTTACGACTGAACAGATTTGAGCTGAGACGAAGTTCTTACCGCTACCACCGACTACATCGCGTCATATCCCGGCTTTAACACAACCACGCACAAGTGAGGCTTCAGTCCGCGAACCCACGGCATCACGGAGAATGCTCCGCCGAACTCTACTCGCAACCTAGCGTACCAAACTGCATACTGACGCTACTGTCTAGATGCCGCTGTAAAACGAGGATGCCGCTGTAGAACGGAGATGCCGCTTTAGATTGGAGATGCCGCTGTAGATTGGAAACACAGACTTCACCAACCCGTTCCCGAGAAGGGGATCCATGTGGCCGCGGGCTCAGCCCTGCCACCTCGTATCGAGCGCCTGTATAGTGTCTAGGAGGGATTCAACAGCTCTTGGTGTGACGATTCATAGCTCACGGACCAATCCCGCAGCCTCATCATGATGCAAGGCATGCTTCCCCTTCGCCTGCGGTAGATTCGGGTATCGCTCGTGATGCGGCTGACAAGACTTGGGAGATATGGGGCAATGAGGCAATACGAGGCTGTGGGCGTCCCGTCCTCGCTATCAGTAGCGCGCGGATAGGTAATCCCGAGCGAGCGATTTACCACCATCTTACAACGCAAGACTATCAGAAGCTTGAAGATGCAGGATTCGCCATTCGAGGGGCTCATGGAGCAACGCCGCCACCCTTCATACTGGGGAATGCCAGGTCCCTGTACATATGCTATTGCGTATCGTGCAGGAGGCTGAGGAGGCTCAGTAAGTCACGCGCCAGGGTTCCCAAAGGATGATAGTTGGATCGTCAAGCATGAGGGGTTGGTGAAGGCTTTGCAGCCGTATGCCTAGATCTCTCCCAAGAAATCTTGACAGGACTAATGCACGCACACATGCAGAAGTCTCAATTCCCCGGGGCCATGCGTCTCAGCCTTCCACTATAGGATCGCGATGATCAGCGCTCTATCACGTTTAAGAATCCCATTGGGTACCGATTGGGTACCAGAAAACGCTACCCCACCGTTGGAACGTGCATCTCCAGGGCTTGTTTTGTAATCTGACAGAACGGGACGCTAAAATCGCCGATCACTCCGCAACTTCCCGCTCTTGCACGTTTGCCCTGCTGCTGCCACGACTACCAACGTCAAAAATACGTTTCCACGATACCTTTTAGGATGTCCGGCACTCAAGTCTTGGGCTCGATTTCGCTCGTAATTGGTACGAACTAAAACGACTACATGGCGGCGCGCATTCCGGTTCGATACGGAGTCGAATACCGAATAAATAGAGGAATGCCTTTGCCGCTTTGTCTCCTCAGGCAGCTTTGTAAGTATTAAGGAGATATGTATATAAAAGTATGAGCTCGTGTCTGTTCGTCAGGATGACCACATTGGTATGTCTCTTCAGAACATCTTCTAGTAGCACGTCTACTCCACGAGATACATACCAAAAAAGAGAGCAACGCCATCTTTATCATCATCACAGCTATTCCACTTTACAGTCTCTACCAGGACACATCTTTGATCCCAACCATGCCTTCGTTCCTAATGAGAACTTCACACGGTCTCATCAGCATCTACGACTCAAATCTCAAGAACGACCAGCCCGCCCTCCTTCTCCTACACGGCAACGCCTCATCCTCCAAACAGTTCCGCCATATCATCGAGTCGCCCACGATCAACAAGGGCTGGTGCATCGTTACTCTAGACCTCCTCGGCCACGGCTGCTCGTCCAATGCCCCTGATGTCAAGACAACGTACTGTCATCGCGGCTACGCCGACCTCGTTATACGTGTCTTGCAGCACCTCAGAATCGAGTCTGTGGTGCTCATGGGCTGGAATCTGGGTGGTCACATTGCGATCGAAATGCTTCCTTGTCTCGCTCATGACGATCCTCCCATGGTGGAAGATGCTCCTCGGATCAGCGTCAAAGGGCTCATGCTTATCGGTACCCCGCCCTCGCGTGGCGCCGAGCAGATGGCTCAAGCGTTCAAGATGCCGGCTGGTGGTCTTACATTCGCGGGAAATAGAAATTGGGTCAATTTGGAGGCTGAGCTTTATTTGAGACACGGTGTGGCAGCGGGCAAGGAAGAGTTCTATGAGAGGTGGATGCTGGAGGACGCGAAGCGGACGGATGGGCGCGCGACAGTCTTCATAGCTGATGCCGCGACTGGGACGAAGGATAGCCCGCCTAAGGGTTGCGATCAGAAGCGTGTGGTGGAGGCGACTGATGTGTTGATCGCGGTCGTGAACGGAGTGGAAGATCAGTTTGTCAACCTGGATTATATCGACGAGGAGGTGAAGTGGAAAAGGCCCCGGAGGGGTGAGTGCTTGGGCTTATCTGGGCTCGGGCATGCGCCATTTTGGGAAGATGCGGCAGGGTTTGAGAAGGTGCTGGAGGAGTTTTTGGACGATTGTGAGGAGTGGGAGGGTTCGGACTGTGATTCTGCTGTAGGTATTTAGTCTACCATGTTCATGGTTTCTCTCCATGTACGCAAATCACTGATACCTAATGCATATGTAGTATCCACTACTGGTTCTTGTTGAATGTGCTGGTTCTATAACGCAGGCACGGCGCGGCTGAGTACCACCGTAGATAGTCGCAATGCAAGTGTATTTCCCAAAAACATTTGCTCACAGTATATAGCAGGTAGTATCCACTACAATCCCATCATAGTCGTGAGCATGTGCATTGGAACGCCACATCGCATACCATAACGTCCACTAATTGCTGACATCCATCTCGATACGAGGACATGTGATCGCAAGTTCGCTTCTGGCGAGGTTTGGATGGGGCGTAACTAGTCAGTGTCCATGGAAGCGCTAGGTCTACCATTCCGAAAGCTAGATCCCTGTACACGTCCCGCCTGATCTACGCATGTCTGATCTAATTCTTACGACCTAGCAGGGCGTAGTCCCACTCCTCTTGGTACTTTCGGAAGAAATCCCGCTCACCAATAAGGTGCTTGCCTATGAACGCCTCCCAATGCTCGCGCTTTTCCCCGCCCTGAGTCATGGCCTCGAGCTCTCGCGCTCTCCGCATGCGAACCAACTTCTCTGCGGTCTGCTTCAGCTTCTGATGTGGAGCAGCGTACTCGCCAAGACGAAGACTCTTATCAATCTCTTGGCGATTTAGGTACACATTGGTAGCTGTGCGTATTTTGCTCAAAGTCCTCCCGCCTGGGCGAGCTGCAAGTTTGCCATCGTTTAGTAAGGAAAATATCCCGAGCTCCCATTGATCAGGTGGAAGCTTCTCCAAGCCGTCCGTGACTTCGAATCGCTTGTACCATCTATGTTCACCTTTGGCGATGGTACGCATCATCTTGTGCCGGTCTTCGCTTTCCATATATTTGATGAGACGATTCTTGACCACAGCTGCTTTCTCCGCGTATTTGCTAAAGGTGGACAGACCGAATGGTATTATCCCAGCGAGGGACGCGCCGTCAGAAATGGACCTGGTTTGGCCAGTACCTATGGACAATAAGACGGCAGGTTCGTTCTCATCACCCCAAACCGAGGCAGCTTCAGAATAAGCGCAGTAGCTGGGGTTATTCTCTCGTATGCCACCATCTTTGAAAGTGGAGCTACCGTGGGGGCCCTTTACTTCCAGTGGCTTGAAAAAGAAGGGTGTGGCGGTAGTCGCTCGCCCAACCTGCCGCGTAGACAGGTCTGAAGTACCTTCGTTGTAGGTCGTGACCCATGGTGGGGCAATACTAGGGTCGTATTGATGATTGTAAGTGCGCAAGAGATGTGTCTCGTCCCATCGCCGAGTGGAGATGGCAGTTACGCATATCCTAAGCATCATCAACAACAGTTCTTCCTATATGATTCCAACACACTTGATCACCTACGTTTGGCAAAGCTGATATTCTGGACTCTGTAGCTCGAAAGCACGAAGTTTGGATTCCATAGGGTCTCGTCGTGTCGTCCAACTGTTCGTGTCGTCCGAATCGTCCGAATCATCCGGGTCATCGAGTTCCTCTTCACTTACGAGATCTTCCAAACCTGTCGTGCTCCACCAAAAATCATGGTCTTGATTGCAAAGACCGCGTTCGTGCTGTTTGCAGTGCTGTCGGGTCATCGATGCTAGTGCAGCCGTAAGATCCGAATGGCTGTACTTTGTAGCAAGTGGGACTACGTTTCGTGAATTTGCATACATTGCATTGAGAATGGACTCAAAAGCGACGATCGTTTGTTCCACGTTCATGCGAAGTCGACTCAGCGCGATGGCTAGTATCCTAACATAATGTATTAGCATGAGTTTGTTCTCGACGATGGCTAGCATGCTCACCCTCCTGTCGACGTGCCATACATCTTATGAAAATAATGGCATGGACGTAATTCGGAAGCTTCGAAGCTTCTGGAGTATTGTGTAAACTGCCGCTCAAACTGGTTCTCACAAGCGATTATCTCTTTCATGAGTTCCTCGATGATCAAAAGACTTGACCACGACTTAACTCCACCACCATCTGACGCTCATGTTAGCTACGCCTTTACGCATGCCAGCGGGCGTACAGACCGAGGGTGAGTAGACATTCCCCAGTTCCGCCCTCCACTGATTTTGACCATTTGGCCCCGGATTTGTCTTCGAATGCTGGGTTCGGCGGTTTATTGGACCATACAATGTCTCTCTGGGTAATATGTAAGGAACGCTGCGGCATTCTTGGGTTTTGCCTCTTGATCTTAGTGGAAGGTGTTTCGCTGCTGAAGAATGAACGCGACGATGCGCCACCATCACGTTCTTGGTCTCTCTCGGTCTCAGTGAAGGGTTCCTCGCTGGACCTTGAACGTAACGATGCACCATCCTTGAGTCTGCCCTCTCCCTCAGTCTCAGTGATTGCAATGTTGTAAGTTTCAGACAGCCTGAGTGTCGGAGTCGTAAGTTTAGAAGTTGACACTCTAGGCTCAGGTTCTTCTACGATCCAAGGAGCAGTGTTGTCAAAGACGATATCCTCCAACGTAGACTTAATTAATGCGTCGTTTTCTCGCACATAATCTGTGGAGAAGCGTGCCTGCAGAGTCTTTACAATCTCTTGCCAGATCTGTTGTTCGACATATGGAATCTCTGGGGCTGTAAAGAAGCTGCGGATGGAAGAGACGTCATCTGAACTTTGATGGTCTTTCATGAGCTCAGTAATCGCCTCCTTGATGGCCTCGTAGTCTTTCGCGATCTTGCGGCTGCTGACGTTGTTGAGATGCGTTTGCAGACTCATGAGCCTTGACCTTATCTCTCCTACAGTCTCACTGAGCGAAGCGGTAGACACGTTTGTTCCATTGTCGTCTTGCCCTAAAGATTGTTCCAGCTGTTTGAGCTCGCCCAGTATTGAAGCGCATTCTCGAGAAACCCTTTCGAGAAACGGGTCGCTGGCGTACACGCTGGCATTCAGTTCTCTCGCAAAGTTATTGGTGAATTCCGCGGCCCCGCTTAGGTCCTGTAGATCAGCCCGAAGCTTATTGTCTGCTCCACTACAACGACTGCTCAATCGCTCAGTAACTTGGCGTATTTCGGTGATCTGGTTGATAGTGATGTCTCTGCCTGCCGTAATGTCGCCTTGGAAGACGGCGCCACCCCCGCTATCCACGGTTCGGTCCGGCGGGTCCGTTCGTGCGCAAAGAGCTTGGCTGCGGTCTTGCAACCATCCGGAAAATTATTTAGAGGCTGGCGGCGACATGCAATCCATGAATCGGTTTTGGCAACATTTGGGATGGAGGTGTTCTTCTGGGTGTTCTCACAAGGTGGGGTCAGGCTGACTGCGTATCGCACACCTTGCAGCTGGCTTGGTCAGCTCAGCTGCAGCTGCGGCTGAGACACGGCAGATGAAAGCCCGATGTCTACCTGCTTGACACATTCGTCAGAGGCTATCGCGCATAGCTTCAAAAGCTGTGTGAATACCAGCAATGGGTATGTTCCGCCGTTTGAAGACGAGCGCAAGAAAGAAGAAGAGTCCAGAAAGCGGCAAGCAAACCGAGGAGCCACCAGAGGAATTGTTCTCGACGGCAGGCGCTTACGGTCTCAGAACAGTAGCGGAAGGACCGACTGATACCGTAGAGTAGGCACTCAGCCTCACTACCAGATTACACCTAACACATACCACAGTATTGTATTCGTTCACGGCCTCACTGGCAACCGTGAAACCACATGGACGTACAACAATTCCATCTTCTGGCCCAAAGATCTACTTGCGAATGATCTCAAAAACGTGCGCATCTTCACCTTTGGATACGACGCGGATGTTGTCAAGCTCCTCACCATCGCCGGCGGAAACACCGTACGCGACCATGGAAAATCTCTCGCTCAAGATCTCTCTTTGCGAAGAGCAGAAACGAATGCAGTACGCGAATAGCACGTCTAAGACTGCCTTCTTTACTAACTGGAAATAGAGCAACCGCCCAGTAATCTTCATAGCCCACTCCCTCGGCGGCCTAGTCGTCGAACAAGCCCTCCTCATCTCGCGCGGCACATCCCAGCTGCACGTGAAAACGCTCCTAACCTCCACCTTCGGCATCGCCTTCATGGGAACCCCCCACCTAGGCTCCCGCAAAGCAGACTGGGCAGCCCCCCTAACCCGCCTCTCCTCTCTCGTCCTCAAAACCAATCGAGAAATCGTCGCTGTGCTGGAACCCACGTCGGTAACATCCCTATACAAACTGTCCGCAGAACAAACACTAACTCCACACCCCCATTTCTAGCTCCGAAATGCTATCAGCCCTCCAACAAGAGTTTACACCATGCTCGAAGACCGCCGTCGCAACGAAGGGAAATGGATCGAAATATTCTGTTTCTACGAAGAGTTGAGTTATGCAGGTATAGGAGATATCGTGCCTAGACAATCAGCTATCTTACCCGAATACCCCAATGATAGTATCCATCAAAACCACTCTGATATGACCAAGTTCAGCGGGGCGACGGATCCAGGGTATGTGAGAGTACGTGGGCAATTGTGGGTATGGGTTGAAGCGATCAAGAAACGAGAATTTGAGGGTACGGCGACGGTATTAGGGAAGACTGACGAAGATGAACGAACGCTTGGGGGGCGGGAGGATGGGGTAGAGCAAGTGGCCAACACAGCACAGAGTGTGTCTGAGTTGGAAAACTCGGTACAAGCTCCGCAACGGGCACAGCGGGTTGAAGGTACACAAGAGATCGGGAGCAGTCGGACTGGTGCTGTTTTATCTGGAGGCGGCCCGGTCTTCATGGGGAACGTTAGTGCTGGGCGGGATTTTAGATATAATCAACACTCGTGAACCACAGGATGGATTCTCGATAAAATCGATCGATTCGTATTTGTTCGATCCAATTTACTTCTTCTTCTCCTCTTCGTCGTCTTCATCATCATCATCTTCTTCTTCCTCATCGCTATCCTCTCCATCGTCGTCGTCATCGTCATCCTCATCCTCATCCTCATCTTCCGCATCCGAGACTTCTTCCCCAAGAGCCTTGAGTCGTTCCTGCTACCGTTAGTCCCTTCTGCTACCAGCATATCGGAGAAACGAGAATGACTCACCTTGTCTTTCGTCCTCTTCTCCTCAAGATCAGCCAGCACCATAATGAGATCCTCCAACTCAGTCGCCTTCTCCTTCTCTGCTTCCTCCGCTTTACGCAGCTTCTCTTTGAGTTCCTTGAGTTCCTTTTCACTTGCACCTCCAGCCTTGCCCTTCTGGGAGTTTGACTTTGCAGCGGCTTCAGCTTTGCGCAATTTCTCCTCCGCTTCTTTGACCTTCCAAGACGAATCTTGGGCTTTTGTCTTAAGATCTTGGTTTTCAGCCTTGAGCTTATCGATGGTGGATTGAAGAGCTGTCTTCTCGGATGTCGATTGCTTGAGTTGGGCTTCGAGGGTGGATTTGGACTTCTCCATCTCTTCTTTGAGCTGCTTGAGTTGAGTCTCTTTCTCTTCTTCCAGCTCTCTGAGTTGTGTCTCTTTCTCCTCTGTGAGGAGCTGGAGCTGTGCTTCGCTGTTTTGGACGTGCGTTTGTGCGTTGCGTAGGGTTTCGGTGATGGTGGCGACTTCGGTGCGGGTTTGTATGAGTGTATGTTCGAGGTTACGGATGTTTTCAATGGCTTCTTGGCGGGCCTTCTCTGAGGCGCCCAGTCGACGCTCCAGCTCAGTGCGTGTTCTATGTGCGTTCTGGAGCTGCTCGTCGTACTCTTGTCTAACCTTTGCGATGGCAAGGTTGGCGTCCTTGCTCGCTTGCTGCACCTTATTATTTAGCGCAACGATTTGAAGATTGTACTTGTTCTCCATCTCCAGCATAGATTGTCGGTGCTCACGATCCTTCTTCGCAACCTCCTTGTCGAGATCGTCGTGCAATTTGTCGTTAATGCGCTTCAGGGTGCTGCGCTGCTCTTCTGCCGACTGCTGGGTCTTGCGATGCTCCGCCTGCTCCTGGTCTATCTTCTGCTCCAAAGTCATTAGTTGTGCTTTGAGCTCTTGGATGGTTTGCTCCTTCTCGTTACTCTCGCCACGAAGCGCATCAACTACATCTCGATCAACGCCGTCGTGCGACTGGTGCTGTTCAATGTTTGGGTTGCGATCAATGGCCCGAGATAGTCGGCTAAAGTTATCCTTCAAGAAGTCTACAAAGGCTTCGTCGAAAAAGATGTCTGGCAAACCACCACCTCCGCCGGCAGTCCGGGGCAAGACCTCAAAGTCTCGTACGAGCGGATGACGTCGCAATCCGGTGATGGCGTCCAGGTATTTGT